AGACACTGGCCGCGCCGAGCTCCCATCTCACAGGGACCCGAGTTTGAGGCGCAAGGCAGATCCCGGGCAGACTCGAAGTTCCCCCGCAGCGTCCTCACCGACACCCCGCACTCCTGGATCTCACGCTGAGCCTCGCTTCGAGGTGGGCCGGCCATGGCCTCCTTGGCCGGGTCCTGTGGGTTCCGGGCGGGCAGCTTCTCCTCTCCCTGCGTTAGCCCGTTCATGCCCTTCAGCAGCAGGGACATGCTGCGCACCAGGCGACCGATGTGGCTGCACCAGAAGGGCAGCGGCTGCCCGCTGGGCTCGGCCTTCCCAGGCTCCGCTGAGGCTTCGAGTTCTGGTACCAGGGCCTGGGCTTCCTCGTCTTCCAGGCCTGGAGCCCGGGGTAGAAAGTGACTGTTGACAGTGATGCTGACCAGGGGCTCCGGCAGGAGGGCCTGCAGCTGGGCTGCCAACCGGCCCAGCTCGCTCTCATACTCCTGGCAGCGGCGCCGGAGCTGCAGGTCGTTGATCTGCTTCTCCAGGTAGACCAGGTCGTCCTCAGTCAGCAGCTCCCCAAAGGGGCCGAGGATGGCCTGGTGTGTCTGCGAATACCTCCAAGTCGCCTGTTCTGCGGGGGTGGGGCCTGAGGTTCGGCTCTGACTCTGGTCCTGGGCACAGGAAGGCTGGGTCAGAAGCCACCACAGCCTTCTAACACCTCCTGATTCTGGCTGTCAAGATGCCCAGGCCCTCCATTTAACCCTGAGCAGCCCTGCCTGCCTCCTCACAAGCCTTGGATGGACGCCATGGTTCTAGGCAGTACATAGTTTGCAAGGGGCCAGCTTGCAGGCCTCTGCCTCGTGCAAGGTATCACTCTGAACCCCTTAGCAACCCTTCTTCATATCCCAGAACCTTGTAGAACCTTGAGCCCACTCTTGGACTCCAAGGGATTTCCTGGCTGCAGCCCCTCCCACCACTGCCCCGCTGTGCCCCCAGTTTCTGAAGATGGGGCAGGAGGTAGACACATTTGTTGGAGACAGCCTGCAGCAGGCAGGAATCCTTAGCCCCTGTGGCTGGAAGAGATGTGGCTGTACAATGGAGTGTTCCTACTTTGACTGGCTTTAAAACTGTTGCCCAGTTGACCCGAGGACAGTACTGTATGGACAGTTCAGCTCTACACCTGGACACAGTGCAATCCACACGCCTTTAGGGCAAGATTGCAGTTCTGTTCAGTTGGTCAGTGTCTAGAAGCCTATGAAAGCCCAGGCCAAATTGCAGCCCTTTTTGTCTGCTCACTCACGGATACCTTCTAGACAACTGCAATCTCCTCAGGCCTCCTCCTTCCCCCCACCACCCACTCACTGCACTCCAGCAGTCCAGTCTCTGCTGTTCAGCCCTGATGCCTTCCTTCACCTCAGAACCTTTGCCCTTTGCCTAGAATGCAGAAAACCCTAGACCCAAACTTCCATGGGCTCCTCCTCATTTCCTGCTAGCTCCAGGTCAGGGTCACCTGCCCAGAGAGGGGCCTCTCTTGAGCATCTGCTGCAGCCCCCACTTCACACTGCTTTGCCCTTCCTCATGGGTTTGCCCCCCACCCCACCCTCAGTGAATTGCTTTCCCATTGGTGTCTCTGCAACAACCTAAGCACCAGGAAGGTAGGGAGGGCCCAATCTAATAGGTGACAGAACCCATGGGGCCCACCCCTCTGAATCCATAAATGCCTTGTTTGGAGCCCTGTGATCCAGTTTTGAACCACAGTATGGCGGAAGAGGAAGCTGAGGCCATGAGGTATCAGGAGGAAGACATCTGTTTTGGATTCCAGGTCCAGCTGGAGCATCCCAGCCTTCTACTGGCAGCTTCCACTCCTGCGTGGAACTTAGTGGCCCTCTGCAGCCTCTCTGGCTCCTCCCCTTTCCCCTCCTTTCAGCCTCTCTGGCTCCTCCCCTTTGCCTCCTTGCAGCCTCTCTGGCTCCTCCCCCTTTCCCTCCTTGCAGCACCTGATCTTCTGGAAGATGGTCTGCTCCTCCTTAAGGCTCTGCCCCTCCCTCTGGCCTGGCTCTCCTCCCCCGGCTCCTCCCCTTTCCCTCCTTGCAGCCTCTCTGGCTCCTCCCCTTTCCCTCCTTGCAGCCTCTCTGGCTCCTCCCCTTTCCCCCCCTGCAGCCCCTCCTGCTCTGCAGCCTCTCTGGCTCCTCCCCCTTCCCCTCCTTTCAGCCTCTCTGGCTCCTCCCCTTTGCCTCCTTGCAGCCTCTCTGGCTCCTCCCCCTTTCCCTCCTTGCAGCACCTGATCTTCTGGAAGATGGTCTGCACCGAGGCGTGCCTGCAGTTTCCGAACCATCACCTGCCGCTTCCACTCGGGGATGGGCCGGCCACGCTCGTCCTGTGTGGGTACCAGCACGTCAAGGTCTCCTGAAGGCAACCCATCCAGCTGCAGAGTGGCCAGGCCATCATGGGAGTCCCGGGCTTCCATCTCAGGCCCCTATAGAGACAGGCAGGTCACATGTCCGGAGGGGACCTAGAAAGGTGAGATTCCCCGACTCCTTACACCCCATGGCTGAAGAAACGCTAGGACTCAAAGGAACAACTAAGCTCAATGATGCCCTATAAAGGTGAGGCTCTGAGGGTGAGGATGTGGCTCCCCTCCCTCCCGGAGGTGGGACAGGTGGCAGGTATGATTTGACATGGCCTAGATGCAGTTACCTAAGGCATGCCATATGGAAGGTAAAAACAACTGTGCTGGCAAAGCCTGGCCACCAGTTCTGTAGTGCAAGACTTATCAGAGCCTTTACGGAATTGTGTGCTCTGAGAGGGCCAGCACCACCTGGCAATTTTCAGAGTCCTCTGAGACCCAGGGAAAGTAGGGGTGGACAGGGAGGACTCAGTGGAAACTCCAGAGGAGCAGGCTCCAGAACCTTCCTACATGTGTCTGGTTGCCTTTTGCGACAGTAGCTTCCAACCCTGAGGCCAGAGGCCAGGACTCTGGGACGACAGAGATGGAGAGTGAAGTGCAGACACTTACCTTAAGGGCAGCTGGGAGACTGGTGGTGACCCTCAGAGGGGCTGCACAGGCCATTGGCTTCCTTGGGACAGGCTGACCAGGCCAGGCTGGGCTGAGAGTTACAGCTGCTGAAGACAGCAGGAGTCAGAGGGGCTTCAGAAGGGCAAGAGTGGGGAAGAGCAGATTCCAAGCCTGGAGCTCCTGGACCCAAGACAGCCCTGCTTGGAGCCTAAGGCTCTGCAGTACTGCTCCAAAGTCCCCCAGAGGTCAGCGGCAAATGCTTATCACTGGGATTCTCATAGAGACCTTAAGAAGGCTTGCCCCAACCGGGAAAGCTCTGGGAAAGCTCGTATGTCACCTAATTCTGTCTACCATAGCTCCTCCAAACCTCTCTGCAGCCTGGGTAGAGCTAGGAGCCCACAAGATCTCAAGATCCAGGGACCTAGACCAGCTCTGTCAGACCCTCAAAACTGTCCTTTTACCTGTCCCCTATGCACTATTTACACACACTGTGCCATGACCCTGAGCAAGAAACCTCTGCATCCCCCCCAGACAGGCACACAGCATCATTCACTTAGGGAGACAAACACACAGACATAAACATAGGTAGATACACACAGGCACATGTATGCTCACACATACAGGTCGACACACACAGACAAGAGACACACGCATGCTCTCACACACAGATTGGCACACACACGCTGACACAAACATGCTTAGACACTCATGTGCAGATACACAAGTGCACACACAGACGTGCATGACAACATACATGCACACTCATGTAGAGACATGCACCCAGACACAGACTCACAAACAACACAGACACACGTGCCTGCACAGGCAGACACAAACTTTTACACGTGAGCATGTAGCTTTAGCCTGACTGTGGGTTAAAACAAAACCTCACTGCTGCACGGGGCACCTGCTGTCATTTTGATAACAGTTGGTCACAGTCCTCTAAGGGTGCTGACCTGCAGTTGGCAGGCCCGTCCCATCTCCTGATGCCCAAGGATGCTCACTGGCCTGCTGAGGGCTCTGGCCTGGGTCTCACTGAGACCAGCCTGCTTTTACTTCTGCTCAGGTTACTGTGATAATGGTACCCAAGATAGAAAATGTCAACTTTGGAGACTTCAAAGGAAGCCTGGGAGAAGCAGCTCTGGGATGGAGTGACCCTATGTGCTGAGCTGCCTGAGCCCAGCTCCTCCAAGAAGGTCCTCCCACTTGGGTCCTGGTGCCCTCCACACCTTGCCCAGACCAGTTCTTCTGCAGCCTAGCACTCACACGGGGGACTCCTGAGTCCTGAGTTGGCTCTTCTTCCATCTTCCTCGGACAGCCTTTCAGTCAACAGTGGAGGAGGTGGAAATGGTGGGGGTGGGGGTGTCATCAGGACTGGTGGCACCTGGGGGTGGACAGACCTGGTCAGTGGAAACTCAGGTGAGTCTAGACAGGTCTGTCCCAGCTCTGCTGGGCAAGCATGGAGGGCCTCTTGGGGCATGTGCAGCTCAGAGAGGGCCTGAAGAGAAGTATGCAAGAATGAGAGGCCCAGGACCCTGTCCCTCTTGTGTCTCCCTGCCCACTCACGCTGGGTGGCTGGGTTTGAGTCCTCTGAGCAGCCTTACTCCAGGGCTTAGAGGTTAGGTTAGTCATGCTCACCTCTCAGCCCCACACAGATGGGAGTATGTACACATGCAGGCATGCATGTCTCCCTGCGACCAAGATTGACTCCTGAGACTCAAGACTCCCTCCTTGACATGGGCCTGAGGATCACTTGGGGTAAGGGATTCAGTAGGAACTGGTTAGGAGGTGGAGGGCTGTGGCAGGTCCCTGCAAGCCTAGCAGCCTCTTTTCAAGTGATATGTCAGGGCTTGAGCTCAGGTCACATAGCGCCTAGGGAGCCTGAGCAAGACCCCTAGGTTGTATCCAGGGCTGTTCTGCTGTCTCAGAGAGCCTGGCCTTGGAGATCAAATTACCCAACTTTCCCCAAACTACTGTACCACTGGTTGGATTGCCCAGTCCCTAAGAGGACAGACATGCTGGTTGGGCAGAGAGGCAAGAAATTCTTCTCAGCCCCTAAATTGGGGTGGAGTGGCTAGGACCATATATCTCAGGCAGAGGTGCAAGCCAGGACCTGCATTCAGTGAGCAAACCACACCAAAAGGGGACCATCAAAGACTGGAGAGACAGCCCCTCCATGTTTAGGTTGGGTCACCTAAGGTCAATTGTCCTTGGCCACCTCTACTGTCCTCAGGTCCCGACCACTGGGTGAGCCATTGACATGAATGTGCTGCCCGGCACAGCCCTGCTCAGTCTCAGCTGTAGCACCTGACCCAGGGAAGCTTGGGGATTCTTGTTCCTACTGGCTTTGGTTAGGGAGAAGGGATATGAGGCCTGAAGAGTGCTTGCTGGTCCCTCCCCATGTCCCTCCAAGCCCTCCAATCTTGGCCTGGTGTTTTGGCTGACAGCTGATGTGGAAGGATTCTTGACCTTGTCTCTAGGATGGCGGGCTCCTGAGCTCTGTGGGCCAACATTGCGTCAATGCCCTTCTGTCATGCTGATGCCCAGCTCCTGCCTGCAGTTAACTGGGCACACGACACACATAGCATTCCCTCTGGGCATCCACCCCACAGTCACACCTAAGCCCTAGCACTTCCTTCCAAGAGACAGAGGAAGCCAACATAACTGTCAGGCCCTTAAGATGGTGCTAACGAGACACCACCCCCCCCCACCCCATGAGCAGGACAGGGGCTCTGGCTTGAACCAGCCCTGATTCAGAACACATGGCCCTCCGCCAGGTCTCTATCAGGAACTGTGCCTGCCTTCAAATTTTACCCACATCTGCAGTGGTGGCCTTCTGCTCGCACCCCAGTGTGGCAGCCTGCACTGCCCAGGCAAACTCTTGGCCTCTTTGAGCCACTTCTCCCCCATGGCCAAGGTGGATCTGTCCTGCCCTTCAGTCCCACACTACCCAAGACCCTCAGCTCACCAGGTCATAGGGAGATGAAAGCAGCACCAATCACCATGTGCCCTCTAGTGCATCTCATTTATCCTCGGGCTCTGCAAAGCCCAGGAGCCCACACGTGGAGCTGCAGGACTGGAACATCTGTCTCCTTCCGCCCTGGAGGTTCTCAGATGCAAATGCTGGGCAGCTGAGCACAGGGAGCCGTGGATGTCCCAGTCCTGGCTGTTGGGGGCTGTTGAAGCTGTCGAAGCTGTACCCCCAGAGTAGGAGGTATCGCATTAATATTTGAAGGCCCAGGTGTCAGGTGGCCAGCAGGCTGGGGCTAGGTATGGGATCCCTTACCACAGAGCCTCATGCTGCACAGTAGAGGTCTCGGGATGGACCTTGGGGAGGTGGAGGACCTGAGGTTACCCAGAGGGCCGGCCCTACTTGCAGGGCCTCTCCCAGCATGCAGTGACGGAACGGGGCTTTCCAAGGTCTCATAGCTGCAGCACACAGTTGAGGGAGGGGCAGCAGAAGCTCTGGGGACAGCTCCTGAGCCTGACGAGCCTTGAGGGCTGTTACAGGGGTGACCCTGTAGGACAGGAGCAACTGAATGCTCTTGATTTGATATGGGGCGCTCAGGTTCAGGGTTCCTTGGCTGAAACACAAGCCCACTGAGGACATGACAGCCATCCAGACCTCATCTACTCAGGTGGGGCCTGGGGGCAAGGGAACCCTCGCCTGGGAGCCTCAGCTCTCCTCTCTGCCATTCAATCTCCTGCCAAGAGGATAGGCAAGAAGTGTCCTTGCCCACCTCACCCAGGGAAGATGGGGCGAGGGCTTAGTGGGGCTGGCAGCATCCTCCTCAGGCTAGGACAGAACAGGTGGGATGCTGGCTTGGGCTGGGAGAATGGATCTCCAACTTCAGAACAGCCCCAAAGCTTGAGGACTTCAGGACCTGGGGCTCACTGGGCACTGGGCCCTCCTCAGGACAGAACAGGTGGGATGCTGGCCTGGGCTGGGAGAATGGATCTCCAACTTCAGAACAGCCCCAGAGCTTGAGGACTTCAGGACCTGGGGCTCACTGGGCACTGGGCCCTCCTCACCACTGCACAAGAAAGGGAAGCCATGGCATGGCTACAGATGGGACGTTGAAGGAGAGACATCATGGGGAGTGTCTGACTGGACCTAGACAGGAAGCCATGAGTCCTGACCCCTCTGAACCCGGGCAGGAGGGAGCCTAACTATGGTGCCCTCCAGGCAGTGGGATCCCCCACAGCCTTGCCTCTCAGTCTTGACCATGGACCCCCAGGGAATCCTTGGTATAGGAGCGGGGAGCAGGGTGCCAGGCTCCATCTTTTAGTCCTAATGGCTGGGCATATCATGTCCTAGACTGCTGTTCTGAGGATAGCAGTCCCTCTGGCTTCACCACCTGCCGTCTCTTTAGCAGGGTGCCAGGCTCCATCCTTTAGTCCTAATGGCTGGGCATATCATGTCCTAGACAGCTGTTCTGAGGATAGCAGTCCCTCTGGCTTCACCACCTGCCGTCTCTTTCCTCGTTTTTGGTGAGATTTGAGCATTACTGAGCCTGCCATGCATTAATCATGGAGGGCAGCTGTGTCGAGCTGGGTTACAGGCCTGTAATGCCACCCGGGCTGAGAAAATCATGACCTCAGACGGAGCTGGACACCATTCACCACAGCTGAGATTCCATTACTGTGGGCAGCCACCTCCACTCTGCCCCGAGACAAGACTCTGTCTGGGGATGTCTCCAGCCCTCCCTGGTTCCTGCATGTCTATGGAAGGGCCCTGGGACCCTCTGCAGTGAGAAGAGGGCGACTGAGCTGAGGCCATCACGACAGATCAAGAGAGGAACATTGCTTCTATCCCCAGACAAGGCCTTCAGATCTGCTTTAAGAATGAGGAAGTCAAGGCTGGTGCCTTGTGCCCAGGAGGACCCAGACCATACTGGTGGGAGTGAGAATAAGGTAGGCGAGCAGGGCAACCTAGACCATAAGGGATGAGGGCAGCATTCCTTGGGCTTGGAAGTCTGCACACATATCATCCAGGACTGCCGCAATGCCTAACACCTCTAGAGCACCCTTCAGACTTCCGCACCAGGGAGTCAGGCTACCCACTAACTGATTGACAGGTGGGCAGCAGGCTACCGCCTCAATAGCCATACAGCCTCTGTCCCACCTAGGAAAGGAGGCCCAACCTCTCACTGTGCAGAGGGACGCTGAGATGCAGAGAGAAGCAAGGCCTGAATCCCCCAGTGCCTCGTGCAGGCCCCACCCTCAGCAAAGGGCGTGCCCAGGTCCCACAGAGCCCTTATGTGAAGTGGTCGTTGAAGGTGCACCCCTCAGGGAGCAGCTCTGGATACTGAGAGCCTAGCACTCAAGTTGCCTCTCCTGGGCCCACAGTTCCCCCGAGAGCAGCTCAGGACAGTGGGTTTCACCATCTCCTCAGGCCCACACAGGAGAGAGCCAGGGCAGACGACCTCTGCATATTGCATTTCCATCAATATTGCATCAGGTGCACTCCCCCTGCTGCCGGCCGGCCTGCCTGCAGCTGACAGCCTGTCCTCCCACACAAGGTGGGAGACCTAGAGAACAACTCAGGCAGTGGCAGAGTTGGGCTTCCCTAGATGTTACCAGGCACCATCAGAAGACACCATGGTGACCAAGCTCTAACCCTAACTATGAAGTTCTAAATGGTCCACACAAACTCAGCGGTCAGGGTTTCAGGGCCTGGGTGGCTGCCCACATATGAGCAAGAAGGAAGATATTTGGGTACAGGAAGTGGATGGACCATATTAGGCCTATGGGGATTCCATGCAGACTCAGGAGTGCCAGGTTCCATAGTCCCCAGGCAAGATGGTGTCTTGTTGCCTTGGATCCTATATAACTTCTCAGACACAGCCAGAACCAGATCAACCCCAGGAAGGCAAGATGGGCTTGCTACCCTCAATCCAGCAGGACAAGGGACTATGCAGAGACCCTCTCCCTGAGGTGGAATAAGGTCCAGGAGGGGCTGGCCATGCCAGGCTATAGAGATGGAATGTCAAGAGCTTGCATGAACAGAGAGTTCTGGCCTTGGAATTCACACCACACCTGGGGTGGGGGCTACAGGGATTTTTGGAAGATGGATGGGGCCTGGTCCATGGGAAGAGGTACTCCTGCTATGGGGGCCACAGGAGCAGCCACCCTTCCCACCCCCCTGATCTCAGCTGCTACCCAGTACAGGGAAGATCCCAGTGAGGAAAGGAACCTGGCGTTTTCAGTGGCTGGGGTATCCCTGGGTGCAGAATGTACAGCCCTGCTCATTTTCCAGAAATCAGCATGTCACCACTTACTCAGCCCCAGCCAGGGCAGGAACCTTGCATTGACAGACACAGCCTAGTGCTTAGTCACTGGCCCATTTCCAAAACAGCTGAGTCCCAGGTTTTGAGATTTCCGCCCCAGGAGGAGCCCCACTTGAGTCCTTGTGGACCACTTGAGCTGCACCACACTGCAGTGGTCAGGCTTGCTGCAGTGAAATTTGGCTATATGACCCATGATGTACCTAGCACAGGCCAAAAGGCCAAGGAGAGTTCTGCTTCAGTTGGTTCCTGACACTCTGAGGGACATTCCCATGGGAAGAAAAACCTGGAATCCCCTCAAGTGAACCCAGGGCTCACCTCCTGGGCCTCAGTGCCCCCACCTGAACATGGGCAGGACAGGTCATCTTCCTCAAGGGGTGACACCACTGAGAACTGACGGAACTCATCATGGTCACTACCCTGGGCTGCATGGGGAGGGAAGGATTGAGGCAAGGAACGCACTGGAAAGAGTTGGATCCAAGTCACCAAACTACACCCACAAGGGAACCCTCCAACCTGCCTCACTCCCCTATCTTCTCCCTCTGGCCATCTGCTCACACCAATCCACTCCTCTGTGAATTCCCTTATCTGGTCAGTCAGCAAACTGTTGGGCTCTGTCCTGTGCCGGGAACAGGGACCAATTGGAATAGTGAAGGATTCTGGCTCCAAGAGGTGGGGACACAGAGAGCCACACATAGAGTAGATTGAGCCTGCTACCTCTGGAGAATGATGGGCTGCATGAGGGTTACCTCAGCCACAGTTGGGTCTCACTTCCACCCCTGAGCATGCTCAGCCTGAAGTAATGTCTCCAAGACATAGACATGGTTTCTATGGTCCACACGACAGACATGGCTTGTCCAGTCCTGCCTCAGCCCCCATCGCAGCCTAACCTCTGTCACAGGACCTTCCCATGCATGACAGTTCCTTCCCTGGCCAGTGTCGCTGCCTGCTCTCTGCTTCCCCTGGCTTACTGAGTCACTGGCTGGGTTCTTCCAAGGCCCTTGTCCCTGGCAAGTGTTTGAGGTGAGAGAAGTATGTTAAATGAGCATTGTAGCCAGCTGCCAAGCCCTCCTCCCCAGCCCTCCAGGATAGATATGGCCCGCAAGGTTTTACCGGCCGAGACATTTCCCGCAGATACTGGGCGCAATCCTGATGTCCGTGATAGTCCGCCAGGTCCATCGCTGTATAGCCGTCTTCATCACGCAGGAAGGGGTCTACGCGGTGGGAGAGCAGGGTCTGGCAGCACTGTGGAGAATGGGATATTCCATGACACATGGCTCACTGGGTGCCAAAAAGAACATTTAGGCCACTTCCTGGCTGCAGGCTTGGTCACTCAGTTTCCTGCCAGTGACTCTGCCCTTTTCCTCATAGGCTAATGTAGGCTGTGGGCACCTATGGTCCAGGTGACTGCCTCATGCTTCAAGATGGCCAGGAACCTCTAGCAGGCAATGAAGATTAAAATGGACCTAGGCTTGTAGCTCTCAGTCTTGCCTGGTTACGGTGATAAGAAATCACTCTAATTACACCTATTTACATAGCGTCCAGCACACAGTCAGTAAAAGTGAAGGATTCAGGGAAATATGAGAAATGATTGGCTCCAACAAATGGGTCCAGGAAAACCACCATGATGATGACTTTCAAAGAAATAAAGCCGGAGTGTAAAAATTTAGGCGTGGTATTCTAGACAATGAAAGTGATGTGGGGCTTGAGATGTGGCTCAGTTGGCAGAGCACCTGCCTGTCACGCCCCACGTTCCACCCCTAACATCTCATAAACACGTGAGCACACCTGCAACACCCGTGTATGGAGGCGGAGGCAGGAAGATCAGAGGGTCAAGGTCATCCTTAGCTACATAGTAAGCACAAGGCCAGCCTGGGCTACATGAGAACTTGTCTCAAGATTAACCCCCCCCAAAAAAAAAAAAAAAAAACACACACACACAGTAGATTGAAAATGACCAACGGGGCATAAAGAGATGAATACAACCAAGAACGCAGGCTGAATAGCTAGACAGAGAACATTGGTCAGAACAAACCCATGGAAAAAAAGTATACTGAATGAGGCCACCAAGGCCCAGGAAGACAAATGCCACATGTTCTCTTGTACATGGACCCAGCTTCAAATCTGTGTGTGTCTAACTTGAGGCACATACGTAGGAGCCTGGCAGCTAGAAGGAGCCGGGAGGGCCCACATACAGAAAAGGTGGGCAGGGTAACAAAGTAAAGCAGAGCCTTGGAACACTGAGGGTTGAAAGACAAGCAGGGTGTAAGAGGGAAACGACGGTGGTGGATGGAGAGCCACGCGGAAGCCACCTCACAATCCAGTTGAAAATGCAACTGCAGGGATAGCAGCATACATGTGGCATGCAGGAAGAGGGGGATTCTGGGAGTTAAAGGCGTGAGGGTGAGCGTGGAGAGCTGAGGGGAGGTGGGAGTCAGCCAAAGCTAGGATGCACGAAAGTGCCTCACGGAAACCCTGGTTAGTGAACTAATTTCAAAATGTAGCTTTTAAAACAACATAACAGAGACACTGCAGACCCAAAAGGGAAACAGAAAACCTAGTGGACATGCGCCGTCGTCAGGACAGAAAGGTCTGCACCATCATCAGAACAGACAGACATACGTCATCATCAGGCTAGGCATGCCCCATTGTCAGGACAGACAGACATGCACCATCGTCGGGACAGATGTCCTCTAGAGGCCAGTCTTAGTCTCCAGTCTACGGTGCTATTGAGATACAGTGGGACTTAGAAGTGGTTGGGCCCAGAAGAAGGATATTAGGCCACTGGGGAGCCTAATCCTATTCACTCCCTCTCCCTCTCACAGAGCTGAGCTACACAGAGCTGAGCCCCTTCCCACGTGTTCCTGTCATGATGTTCTTTGTGGTCCCAGACACACAACAACAAGACAGAAAGACTGTGGACTGAAGACTCCGAAACTGTGACCCAAACAAACTTTTCCTCCTTACAAGCTATGCAGACTCTGCGATCGAAAGCTGACTAACACAAGACAACAAAGTCCAACATACATATAACATGAGCCCCAGAAGGAGAGGAGAGACAGAGTGGGCAGAGGTGCTGTCTGAGAGATCATGGCTGAGGATCTTATAACAGATGGCAAATGCCAGAGCACAAATCCAGCAAATCCCAGGTGGTATAAATAAAGGCCCTCCTGCCTACTGTTACCTCACGGTAGGTAGGATGCAGAAAGTACAAGTGAGGGGCAGAGGACAACTTCAGGACACAGGCCCCTGGCCTTCTAATGGACAAGGATGATGGTGCAAAGGATGATTAAAGCACAAGAAAGATTGGAAATCACAAAGTTTATTTATTTATTTTTCTCTTCCCCCAGACAGGATCTCCTATAGCCCTGGCTGACTTCAACTTTGTTAAGCAGCTGAGTCTGGCTTTGAACTCCTGATCTTCCTGCTTCCACCTCCAAGTCCTAGGATTGCAAGTGTACATCACACCACAGCACACCATAGCTGGCTCCCAGCTCCCAGCTTATTTCTGGCATTGGTATCTCACTACTGATGAGGACATAACATTTGAAGGCAAACACACAAAAAGAACAGATGATTCCCAGTCACAAAGCCTCACTGAGGGAGCCCTCAACAGACACACCAGACTGCAGGACAGCAATTCCGAATAGGAGCTTGGAGTGGGAAGAAGATGTAGATTTATGGGTTTGTTTCATTTAAAAAGAGAAAGCCTGTGGGGTTCCGAGAGCTGAAGAAACAGAACTGTTGAGGATGGCCCTCCCCAACCTGCTTTCTCTCACTCTCCCAGCTTCTGACACTGGTCTCCACCCTCTGTCTGAAAAGCTGACAAAGCCACTGTGTCCCCAGCTGGAGGCCCATGTCCAAGCTAGGAGCACACAAGGCCTTCCTGAGAGCCCCATGTGCACCAGACTCCGGCCCTATCTCCCAGTCACTGTGGGAGCCTCGGCATCTCCAGGTTTGCAGACGGCGAGCGAGGAAGCCAAGAATTCTTCCAAGGTTATAATGATGACTGCAAAACCTCCATCCACCTGGTTAGCTAGCTCCACGGCTGCCCTGCGGACAAGCATCTAGCTGAAGACAACCATCTGGATCCTCAATGCCAGCACACCCTGGGCCTTCTGATCCCAGCTCTTCTTAATACCTCACTCACTATTCTAACACAAACACTATGTGCGATACCATCGACCTGTACACGTCGTTTCTAAATAATTAAAAACCCTGCACTGGAAACCTGGAGGGCCAGATGGCTGAATCAGATGCAGCTAAGAAAGGCAGAGAAAGGGAGGAAGGCCCCAGCTGCCCCCTTGGACTTCGTGCAGGGTTCCCTGCTCTGCTGTGACTCTGACCTCCAGCTCTGATGTCCTGCACAGGGCTCCTGCCCACAGGAAGGCAAGGGAATGGGTAGAGATGACTAGTGGCTGGCGACTAGGGGTCAGCTCTGCCCAGCTGTGAAGGCTCTCAGCATTGCTTATCTGTGCACACAGGGTCACCTGGAATTATGGATGCCTCATTAATTAATGATCTAAATAGCAATCTTCGCCACAGGCTGACTTCATAGTTGTGCCAAGATTACACGAAAGCTTGTTTTGTTGTCACTGGATTTTGGTGTTGTTTGCTTGTTTGTTTAGTTTTTCCTTTTAGAGGCAGGGTCTCCCTATGAGGATGGCCTCAAACTTGTGACTCTTGTTTCTGTCCCCCAGGCACTGGGGTGTTAGGTATGCACTACCATGCCTAGATGTGGTGATTGATATTTTGTTTATGATCTAACAGATGAAGCTTGCTTGAAGATCAGACTGCAAAGCTAGCCACACTAGGTAGCCACAGAGGCCAGGCAGTGGTGGCACACACCTTTAATCCCAGCTCTCAGGAGACAGAGGCAGATGGATCTCTGGGAGTTCAAGGCCATCCTGGGATATGCGAGAGTGACTCATTCTAAAAGAAAAACAGAGCTCACATAAAGGTGACCCCAGCACTTGGGATCCCCCGTCTTTAATCCCAGCACTAGAGATGAATGAATATTAGGCAGGGGGACACAGAGGACAGGGCAGTCTGAGGTTTGGTGGATCTCCCCTTCAGTCTGAACCTTGTTCTTTAATCCCAGCACTAGAGATGAATGAATATAAGGCAGGGGGACACAGGGGACAGGGCAGTCTGAGGTTTGGTGGATCTCCCCTTCAGTCTGAACCTTGGTAGAGGTAAGAACTCTCTAGTGGTTGGCTGCTTTGCTTTTCTGATCTTCAGCCTGAACCCCAATATCCGTCTCTGTGTTTTTATCATCCATGCTATACCCAGGTTGTAAGTGGGACGGTTTGATTTACCTGTGTGCAGATTCACGATACATTTAACAATCAGAAAGTCAGGCTGTTGTGGCCGGGATGTAGCTCAGTTGGTAGTGTCCTTGTCTAGCATGCATGAAGCCCTGGGTTCAATTGCCAGTACCAAGCAAGCCAGGTGTGCTAGTGCATACCCAAGGTCCCGGCACTCAGGAGACACAAGTGGGAGGGCTAGAAGCTCAAGGCCACCCTCGGCTACTTAGTGACTTTTAGGCTACTCAAGACTGTTTAAAAAACAAAGCCCGCACTGCTTCCGGTATCTTGGCTGAGAACAACGGTAGTGCCAAAACCAAAAGGCAAAATGATAAAAATAAGGGTCAGACCGGTGAAGCTCCAACATCGTGCCCAGCAACTGGCATCATCTTTAAAGCTAGGATGAAACCAAATGCCTGTCCCCTCAGTGTATACTGTGGAGCTATTCCTAGAGAGGAATGTGAAGTCCAGTCTGGTCACAAGCGGGTCAGATGTGTGCATGCCCACTCAGTTCTCACTGAGGGAGTGAGGCGTGTCGAGGAGGGCCCTGGCTCAGATGGTCACAGACTGGGTTTTCACAACTGCATATTGAGTCCTGAGCCCTGAGGAGGTTCACCCGGTGCAAGTGTGTCCTTCACTGTGTAGGGCCTTTCTGGCAGAGCCACCATTCGTGACCCCGTCACAAGCCTAAAAGCACTCCAATCACTGTAACCAACTAAGCCAGCCCCAAGTTTCCAGGACCCACAGAGGGCTGACCCCCACAGAACCCACTGACAATGACCAACACTTCTCCTCATGTGTCCGTTGAGAGAATGACTGTGAACAGGGAGGGGGTGGACACGCACTGCAGGGCACGAGACCCAGTAGATGGCTGAACCTCCACAGGATAGGGCATTAGTGAGTGGGTGTCCCCGGGGTTGCTAAACGATCTTTCTGGAGTTAGATGGGTAGAGAGCTAACAGTCCTTCGTAGCCACACATCTGGCCTGAGGCAGCGTCACGCACGCTTGTCCTGCTGTCCCACCGCACAGTGCCCCCCTTCAGACATGAAACACACCTGTCCTCACGTCCTACAGCAGCCTGCAACGGCTTCCTACACCGCATTATGGCCCTTCTGCCCACGAGTTCTCTCCTGCATGAGCCTTGCTTCCCGCAGCCCTCTTCCCAGCCTCCCCCTCCACACTGACCTCACCCAGCCCCCCCCCACTCCTTCCCACGTGTGTCCATGTGACGAGTTTACTGAGACTGTTCATTCACGGTCCTCCCACTGGGCACAGGTGAGCACTCCCTAGGGATTCTGCACCAGTCCTCCTCAGGCTTCCCCCAGGGCCAGTTAAAACCAGAATGGGGTGGTTGAAGTAAGCTGTGAGCATATCTGAAAGTTCTCTGGAGGTTAGCTAAGCTGGAGAAACACCACCCACCTTCCCCTAAAAAGGATCTGGGGTGCTTGGGACCTGCTCACCAGTGGGCAGAGCTCAAAGTATCTGTCACCAGCTGCCTGGAGGCCTAACAGATTCTCACGGTGGGGTGGAAATGACTCCCTTCTTCTAGCGCACTGCCCCCTGTCATTCCACCCAGACAGGACAGAGAGGGTCCCCAAGGACTCTGGCAGGCTTCTCTATTCTCCAGGCTCACCCTGCCCAAGACAGAGCTGGAGTGAGCTGAGCAGGGATTGTGGGAGAGTAAGGTGAGCGAAAGAGAGTCCCTGCCTGGAAGGCAGGGGAGGTAGAGAAAGCCCCCTGGGTAGCTGCCATAGGCTGGGCTGGCTGCCTTCAGTGACCCTGTGGCTGCACAGTGTGGGGTTCTTTTGCTTGGCGTTGCTGAGGTGGTTCCCTGCTAGGAACAGCTACCCAAACTCTGGCCCATGCTGGGACACTGGGCCCACTGGACATGTGCTGTCTCCAGTGACAGTCCCCATAGATTAGTCCAGTCTGCCTGGAGAGCTGCAGGGCAACCTAGGCAAAAATCAGAAACCCATGAGGCCTGCAGGGAACAAGGGAAGGGAACAAGTGGAGCTCAAGTTTCTCAGGGCAGGAAGGGTGGGGGAGGAGAAACCTGCATGGAACCAGACCCAGACAGCCACCAGCTACCGCAGCCCTCAGAGCTTGGTACCTCCTGACCTGTGACCCTTGCATGTAGTGGGTTCTGGAGGCTCATTCCTGACAACGGGGCCACGCAGACCCAGACAGCCACCAGCTACCTCAGCCCTCAGAGCTTGGTACCTCCTGACCTGTGACCCTTCAACCCTTGCATGTAGTGGGTTCTGGAGGCTCATTCCTGACAACGGGGCCACCTGGACCAGCAGGTCTAAGTTACGCATTCTACATTAGCCTTTAGCCACACATCACCAAGCCTAGCCTGGAGCAGGGACCGGGGGTTTTCCTGCCGGCTGCACCCCCCTTTATTCCCTATAGAAGGGTAGTGCTGGCATGTGTTTCAAAGGACGTCTGGGAGGACTCGATGGCACACTGACAAGGGCCAGCTCAGAGTCCTAGGCCCCCTCAAATATACCTCCATGTGTCCATTCTCAGCTGCGTCATGCAGGGGAGTTCCTCCCCAGGAGTCTCTCACGATGGGAGCACCCATGAGCAGAAGCCGGTCAAGAATAGGTGTGTGGCCACCCCGAGCTGCAAAGTGCAGGGCCGTGGCTCCTTCGTTATCCTGTGCTGTCAGGCCAATGTCTGTGAATGTGACCTGGTGGGAGAACCCAGGAAGATAGCCATCAGCTGAGGAGGGACCTGGGGTAGCCAGCCTCGGGGAGGAGGGACGGGGGCACTCAGAGCAGAAATGGGACTCCCAGCTGTGATCCCCAGTGGGCAGTGGATATATTCCCAGGAAGCCTTGAGGCAGAGCTGGCTCATCCCACGTGCCCTGTGACCCATGTGACATCCCAGACCAGGGCAGGTTATGTGAGCACAGGACTTGAACTTTGGAAGCACACACACAAGATAAATGCCACAGCAAGAGAGGAATGCCACATGGGCATTTAGCAATAGGAGGGTAGAGAGGAAGATGACACAGGCAGCCATTGCGGGTCTCAGCTCCTCTGGGAGGGTGATGTTAGAGGCCTGGGTGCTATGGCACCTTCCCCCATAGCTCTGGTCCAGAGCTATTCACATTGCCTGGGGCTTGTCTTGTTGGTGGGGGCCTTGAGTGAGGCCTGCCTTTGTCTCTGGCCTCATCTGCCCTGTAAGGGCACCAAGGGGTCTGCCCCACAGCACCCAGCTGGGGTCCTCTCAGGCTGTGTCCATTCTCTCATGGGCTTGCCTACTGAAATGCGAACTTTGTCTGTGTTCTGTGGGGTCTGCAGGAAGCTCCTTAGAGGGAACTGTGATGTTTCTGCTCTTTCTGCTGCTGGGAATGGGGTTAGTATTTTCCACAAAGACAGGGTTCCCTTCCCACTGAGCTGTCTCAGGACCTACAGCCCACTGTGTTTGTCAAAGGTCTCGGGGTAAATCACCTGGGCCCTGCCACAAGCCACCACCATGGCTGCTTCTCCAATCACATCCCACTGGCTTACATTCAGGTGGCAGGATAGCCAGCTTGAGACTCAGACTGGGACACAGCAAATGGCTACTTCTCCAATCGCATCCCACTGGCTCACATTCAGGTGGCAGGATAGCCAGCTTGAGACTCAGACTGGGACACAGCACAGGGGAGGGTCATGGTCTCAAGTGAATGAGTTAGATCTACAAGAAAGGCCATGGCCAGAGCATCAAGGACAAAAGGTATTGGGGAATTGGGCAGCCTGGAGGCGAGGCTTTCTCCTGGGGGAGCTGGGGTAGTGAGGTGACACACAGGTGACACACTAGTGGTCAGGCAGGTGCTACGAGGGAAGCTGAAGACAAATGACGCAGCCCCTGGGACCTGTGGGAGGTTGGGTGTCAAACCAAGGTTGGGAGACCATTGCTCTTTTTGTGGCTCCTCACACCAACTGCCAGGCCCAGGGAATCCAGCTGACGGACAGGGCCAAACCTCCAGATGTTGTGTGGAAACAGCTGCTATGGTGCCAGCCAGATGTTGGTCAGGTATTAATACCAGGGACACGCAGGGGTCGTGGAAAGGCACAAGGCACAGCATGAACAAAGGCCTGAGAGGAGGCTGAAGGGAGCGCTGCAGGAAGGCAGACCCCATCCCTACCTCCTTCACTGGCAGCCAGCATGTCTTTCTGCCGTGCAGGTGAATTTTGGCACCGAGCCCTTGTCCACGACCTAGGGTCGCCTCTCCCTTTCCCAATCCATCCCAGGCCCAGAGGCGGGGCTTTCCACCTCCTTCACTGGCAGCCAGCATGTCTTTCTGCTGTGCAGGTGAATTTTGACACAGAGCCCTTGTCCACAACCTAGGTCGCCTCTCCCTTTCCCAATCCATCCCAGGCCCAGAGGCGGGGCTTTCCTGCCTTTGGGTGTAAAACTCTCTCCTAAGGAATGGCCTTGAGTCCTGCTCCCCACGCAATGCTCATCAGGCTACTTCCTGTCCATCCGCAGCTGTTCCTCCTCTGCTTCCTCCTCCAGGGGGGCCCCCAACTCATGGACACTATGGAATCTCTAGTGAACTCTTGAAACGCCTACCTCCCCTGGGAGTGGCTGTTTTTTGTTTTTTTCTTTAAAGGTGAGAAGGCCCTGGCCCACTCAGTCACTCTGGAGTTTGGGATTTCCTTCCTGGGAAAGGTGAGGGTCTGGCCTGGAGCTCTGAGGCAACAGGGCTTGAATGTGTTTGGGTGGCTCGGGCCAGGTGCTGGCGTCTGTGACAGGGCACCTGGATAATCACCAACACCAAGTGAACTCCAGAGAGGCACCCAGTTCCTAGGACGGGGCCCGAGAGCTCTGGGGGCTGCCACGTCTCCTATAGTCCTGCGGGCACCCGGGAGCCCGACCTCGTACTCTGGGTGATTTGTGTGACCTCAGTGCCTTGGAGTCCCCCTTCCAGATCTATCCAGGCCTAGCTGCCTCTAGGGTCTGGACTTTCTGGACGTCCTGTTCCCCACAGTGCCCCCTTACCAGCCAGACAACCAGAGAGTAGTGGCCACGGGCAGCTGCAGCATGCAGTGAGCTCATGCCATCCAGGGCACGCAGTCGCACGTCGGCCCCACAGTCTTTCACCAGGAACTGTGCCAGATGCAGGTGGCCCTCCTGGCAGGCCAGGTAGAGTGGAGAGGCGCCATTGCGGGTCTGCTGGTTCACACCACTGTGATGGAGGGAGGCTCATGAGGCCTGCACCAGAACTGCCTGGAGGAGGCTGAGCTGGGGCAGCATTTGGGGGACTTGGGCCTGGGTGAATCCTTGGTTCCCAGTGACCAGCAGCAGAGAGCGCCAGTGTCCTACCCCAAGCTGACATCATCCTTGGATGTCATAGACTTGTCCTTGATCCCTGACCCCTGACCATATAGTCTGAGTTTTCCTAATTCCAGCTTCTGCCTCAATGGCCTCTGTTCCCCACTCCCATAACCAGTGTCCTTTCTTTCCCTCTTTCCTTGCCTGGGTCAAGCTTGCTCATATCAGTCATTTTAGACAGAGAACGGTCACAGCCTTAACTGCCTTCTCGGCCATCCCTGTAGAGACACAGAATTGACCCCTAACTCCCGAGGGCCCCCTCTACCTCTGTGCCACTGCGGCTGGTAGTGTCTGCTGCCGCCACCGAGCAACCCTGCCGGACACAGCTCTGTATCCACTGAGCAGAGCCTTCACTTTGCCCCAGTGCTGCGCTCACCCAGGGCTGGATACAGTGGCCTCCCTCAGGAGTAAGGCTTGGCTCTTAACTGCTCCCAGCTCAAGCATGTATCTTCTAAGGCTCTGACTGCACCTCGGCCTCGTCTCACATCCTCTCCTCTGGGGCCCTGGAGCCAGAGTGCCACACAGGCAGGGGAGGCAGGGAAGTAATGGCACGCTTCCACAGACACCCTGCAACTCACTGAGTGACTTTGGATCCACTCCACAGGGGCACCTCTACTCATCATGGAGAGGCCATTACAAGCTTCAACGGGCAGAAGGAGAAATGGAGGCTGAGAGCTCACTGATTTGCTCAAGGGCAAGAGTTCAGGTCTCTTTCCTCTCAAAGCCCCTCGGCCTCACTTTATTCTAGCAAGGTGAGCTTTGTATAGACCGGAAGACAATGAAGGAAGAGAAATTGGGAAGCCGCTCGCCTCCGTGGGTCTGGCCCTATCTTCCCCCCTCCACCAACCACAGAGGGTGGGGCACAAGGCCTTGGATTTGTTGATGCTGGTCATGGTGTTTTCAATGTGGAGGATGACTGAAGGCAGGCGCTTCTCCCAGGCACCATTTGGGTGCAGTCCTTGCAGCCCCCCAACTGGTGCAATGCTGCACCTATGCTGAACGACCACCCCCCCCCCCGGGCGGAGCCTGCCTCCATGCCTTCTGCCCCTGCTTATCCTCTGGAATCACAGGGCCTGCCTCAAAGGCCACCAGCAGGTTGTCTTTTGCCTCTCCTCTATGCAGGCTCCCTCAGTGGCCAATCACTATGGGCAAATTGACTGGTCTCTCACCTGCTGTGGGCAGCTGTCAGGAGCTTCACACAGGTCAGGTCACCACTGACAGCAGCATGGTGCAGTGGCAAGGCCCCCTCCAGCGTCTCCAGTGTGGCCGCATGGCCCTCGTGCAGCAGCCACTCCACCAGGGCCGGATGGCTAAACCTGGCAGCCAGGTGTAATGGGGAGACACCTGAGGCATCTTGGTCCTGCCAGGACACAAGCAGGACACTGAACCCATGCAGGCCCCAGTGCAGCCTGGCTGGGCACACCAACATGGCCAGAAACATGGCCTGAGGCTGGTCTCTTGGAAGACCCCTTAAGGCCTGCAGCTGGCTCCTTTCCCGCTTCCTCTGCCTCCTACTGAATGAGTAGCTTGACTGGGGAAGAAGCTAGGCTAGGCCCCTGAGATCCCTCCCCACCCCAACTGCCTACCTTTCTGATCAATTGAGTCCCCGCACATTCTGCACATGCTCAGAAAGGCTCCCACTAGCACAGTGACTCTCACCACAGGTGTTCCAGGACAGAGGCCTCTAGACCTCTGCCTGCCCCTCATCCCTCCTCAAGATGGTCCCCAAGGCATTTCTTCTGAAGGTGTCAAGCAACTAGCAGACCTGGGCATTCCCTGAGGGTGCCATTATCCAGAGTGAGTCTGGAAATGGGCCAGTGCCTGTTCTCTGGCCTCAGGGTTATTGGAAGAGTCAGTGAAAAGGAGTGTGAAGGCTGGAGCAGCTCTACCTATGCCATGTGTCCACCCAACTCTGGTGGCTTTCTTGTGCTTCCAAGAATGCAGCCTGGCTGACGACGCTGAAGTCTCTTGCCTGCACCAGCTCCAGGCATGCAGCAGGAAGGAGGCTGGTAGCTCTGATAAGACATGTTCTAGCAGGATGGTCACCTGACTTGAGAGTTTTCTCACTAGGATGGCTGTCAGCCTGTGTCCCTAGGGCTCCAAGGTCCTGAGAGTCCAAGGTGCCTCTTTACAGATCCACTTCTTGACCCTTTGGGGAACAGGTTCTATTGATCAGGTCTAATCAGAGATGGGATCCTGAACACAGGCAAGGCCATTATTGGCAGCCCTAGGTGCTTCTTGCAGGGGGAGGGGTGGAAAAGCCCAGGTGACTTTTCTGGATACATATGAGGGTGACTGATGTAGCCTTGGTGTTCAAGGGTTTGTGCTGTTTTTTTTAGGGGGGGGGGATGAGAGACAGAGACAGAGCTTAGGACCTTCCAGGGATCAGGCCTTTTGGACTTGCCCCAGCCAGGTTCACGGACAGCAGGCCTACAGCCACCCTATTGTAGCTTACCTGCAACCCGCAGCCCCCGTCACGGACCAGCCAGCACAGCTCGGCCAGGTTGCCAGTGGCTGCTGCATCGTGCACTGGTGTGGCTCCGTTGTGTGCCTGCTGGTTGCCTGGCAGCTTGGCCCTCTGCACCAGGAACTTGACACAGTCCAGGTGGCCAGCCCGGGTGGCGTGATGCACCAGGCCAGCCCCCAACTCATCAGTGATGCCTGGGCTCAGGGCACCCGCCTCGAACAGTCGCTCCAAGGTGGCTACATCCCCGTCCTTGGAGGCTACCAGAGCCTGCTGCTCCTCCATCCTCAAGTTGGATTCTTAGTGGTGGCGGCTTGTATGCAGGCCCAGTAGGGCTTCCTGTTTCAGGCATGGACGCTGCTGAGGGCTCTAGTTACCTGATAAGCAGCTCACTGGGCAGATGGGAGGCAGCAACGGGGGAAGGGGGGGGACTGGCCCTCAAAGCCTGGCCCAAGCAACGTGGGCTCAGGGCCTGGAGCTTTTGAGCTTGGAGAGTGTGGCCCTGGAGGGAGGGATATGCAAATCAGGCCATCAGGTGCCACTCAGCTGGAGTCCTATCACCTACAGAGCGAAGCAAGAGGATGCCTTAGCAGGGTTCTTGGCTTGGGATGGGTCTCCAGCACCCAGAGGGTGTTCACAACTACAGTCAGCTCCAGCTCAGAAACCTGTGTCAGCAAATATTTTAGTGTGAGACTAGCAGGCTACCCAGGAGGCTTCTCAATTCTACTTGAAGAAAGAGTAGACCTGCTGTGGTAACCCTTAGGGTCTAAATACCATCACCAGAGGCCCTCAGGTCTCCCCTTCCTCTCCCCACCTTCTCTCTCTCTCTCTCTCTCTCTCTGTGTGTGTGTGTGTGTGTGTGTGTGTGTGTGTGTGTACCTCACACAGGGTCTCATTAAGGGTCAGGAACTCACAGAGTTCTATCTTCCTCTACCTCACAAGTGCTAGGACTAAGGTGTGCACCACTATGCCTGGCTGAACTCTGTATTTGAACCCTGGTCCTTAGCTGTTCTCAGCACTGACACTGGGTGAGCGTCCAGTGGCTGCTGGATGGCAAAGCCTCTAAGGTGAGGATGTCCTCATAGCCCCACACTGAAGGGGAGGATGTTCTCATAGCTCCACACTGCCCTCTCGGCCCCAGCATTCTTGAGATCTGCACCAGCCTTGGTCCTTGCTGGGGAAGTGAGGACGAGCATGGCCTCTCCCTGGTGCCACAGGTAGATGACGATCAGGGACCTCTCTCAGTCTATCAGAAGTCCCTTCAAGCACTTGGTGTCATTTCACAATGACGCACCAGGAACCTCCTTCCCTTCACCTCGGACACACAGACACACCGACAGGTATTCATCAAACTTGTGAGCAGAAAAACAGAGAACCTCCCACCACCACCAGAAAAAGCCCACAACACCTCAAGCAAGATCAGACATATTTTATTAGTTCATTTAGTCTCTGACAATTCTTTCCACATCTTGTGTCATCCTGTGGACCATAGACCCACATGCTAAAAACATTCTTCAAGAAGATATGCCTATATAAATATTGGTACAATGTGTGCCACACACCCTCAAGATGACAGAAACTTTGCAAAGAAAATTGCAATTAAAGCTGAGTGAGAAATGATTGGATTTCCCACTTTGGCAAAGACTAAGAACACAGCAGCCTCCCATCAGCCACACTGGAGTTGAATCCCTGAGTAGAAGGGAGGGAGAAGACCTGGGGCAGGGTGACCTGTGACTTCCAGGAACAAGAAGGGCCTGCCAGGCATGAGGCCTCATCTGGGGGACCATCAGGCCAGGAGCCAGCAGGGAGGCAGGGCTGCACCCGGCAGTGGGGAGGCTCTGTAGGAGCCCATGGGAGGCCACGAGTGAAGACAAAACCAAGTTTCCTATTTTCACAATAGCAGCTAAGTGACAAGGGACAAAGACTAGATTTTATCTTCTGGCCAAAGTGATTCCTGGGGCCCGGTGTTCCTGACTGGCTGCCCCACGCGTGGAACATTCCCATTCCCACATAGCCTTTGGCAGAAGGTGACAGGGGAGTCCTATGTAGCTCTGGTGTCCTGAGTCTGGAAGGATGAGGGCTGGGGTGGGATTCTGTGTGACAGGCAGCTTTCATCACTCTGACCGCAGAGTAAGACAGTCATCTCAGTGCAGTCCCCTTAAGAGGGGACAGTTAGGGGCTGGGGACTTTCACAGGGGGTTTCCTATGGACAGAGTGGCCTAAGCTCAGCTGGCCACTGAGGAAGAGCGGCTGCTAGCCCGAGCCCTCCAGATGGGCCGCCGGCCACTGAGGAAGAGCGGCTGCCAGCCCCCCCCCCCCCGCGTGGGTGCCCTCTTTTGTGCTCCCACCTCTCAGACAGCTCCTCAAGCTTAGGGTGTGCTGTGTCCCCTCGGTGCCTATCCACATGGCCTGCTGACACTTACCTCTTAGAGCCCTCCTGTCCCCAAACAGTCCTCTAAGCCTACTCAAAGGTAAGGTCCCCCTAAAATCCTCCCATTTGTGCTCCAGATGGGGAAGCATACTGCTTCCTAAGCGTAATACCTTCCTCCCACCATCATGTTCAGCTCTGCACTGAGCCTTGGCTCCTGGGGCTTCCTGGTATTGGGGTCGTGGAGAATGTTCCCTGAACGATGTGTCTAGTGCTTCACTGGGGCAACCCTTGTGCCCTTCCCGTCTGTACCTCCCACTTGCCCCTGCTCTCCAGCTGGCCTCAGTCTCCCTGTTCCTGATGGAGCCTCGGCCACCAGGTGCTGGACTCCAGGCATTGCCTGCCCTCCATAGATCCTTTCTCTCTTCTGTGATGTGCTGATTCCCCTAGAGCCTGGTCCTTGTCCCCCTCTGCTGCTGGCACAGGGACCCTCTGTATCTCCCTTGGCATGCTCATATACCATCCTACCTGCTCTGGATCCAGTATGGATTGCTGGCTGCTGTCCCAGAACCAAGTTCATTCACCCAGCTCCGCTCCCTTCCACAGGCACCCATGCTGCTCGCAGCCAGGAGCAGAACCCTTCTCCCCTGCGTGAGTCTGCAGCTCAGAGGCTCGGCCCTGAGTCGCCACCACCTCTACCTGAGAGTTGAGTGCAGCTAAGAATACTCACCGGTCTTCATGATCTGAGTGGCATGAAGCTCCCACACTGGCCAGCAGTGTCTGGCACTGTGCAAGCACCATGTACCCTGTGAAGACAGCATGCGTCCCTAGATGCCGGACTTGGGTCATCTCCCATCCCTCCCAGCCCTCTGGGTCTGGTTCCCTGACACCACCCACTGAATCCCAGTGCAGGCAGAATTCCTGGAAAATGAATTCCTTTTCCCTCCAGTGATAGAAATGCTAGCCCTCTTTGAAAACGGCATTCTAACCATCCTCCCCTCTGGGACTCTGACAGGCTGCCTTGCTCACTGGCATGGTGCAAAGTAGCACTAAGGTCAGCCCCCTACTGCTGTGGTCACGTGGGGCTGCTAGTGTAGTTAAACCAAGAACCTCTGTCACACTTTAATCAACACAGGTCCTCACTAGGCACTGGTGCCCCTGAAAAAAGGGGGAGATGGCTTCCTCCACAAGGCATCTGTGAGGAGGGCAAGCAAGTCTACTTCCACCCACCAAGTATACACTTCAACTGCCATCATGTCCCATCAGGACAACAGGCTTCTCTGTGACTCAGGGAGATGAGGGGTGACACCCTCTCCGAGGAAGCCAAAAGCCAAGGGCTGGAGAGATGTCTCAGCGGTTAAGAGCACTGGCTGCTCTTCCAAAGTGTCCGGGTTCAATACCCAGCACCCACATGGTGTCTCACAACCATGTATAACAGGATCTGATGCCCTCTTGAGGCCTGCAGGCATCATGTAGACAGGGCCCTCAAATATGTTTAAACAAACAAACAAAAACAAATAAGTCTTTGCCGGCAGTGGTGGTGGCCCATGCCTTTAATCCCAGCACTCAAGAGGAAAAGGCCAGCCTGCTCTACACAGTGAGTTCCAGGACAGCCAGGGCTGTAGATAAACTGCCTCAAAAAAAAAAAAAAAAAAAAAAAAAAAAAAAAAAAAAAAAACTTCCTTCAGAAGCCCTTGAGTGAAACACAGGTCTGGGTCCTTGGCCTGAGTCTCTCAGGGAATAGAAGTGTTACCCTTCCAGAGAGCTCCTGCCAGGAAGCTCTGGGGGAGAAGTCACCTGAACTCCTGACTTTGCCTTCAGCCAGCTGTCTCAGCGGCCTCTGCATTCTCTTCCCTTACAGTCCTGAGCAGAAGGAGCTTGTCTAGCCTGGAATTATTTTCTTTCTTTTTTAAGACAGGTTGGCCTGCACACAGTCTGCTGTCAGCCCTGAGCTGAGCAGTCACCCAGGAAAATACCCCATTAACATCAGCTGCACTGTGCTGGGAGCACTCCAAGGCGGGGCAGGTCCTGGCTCAGACACACAGGGACCAACATCAGACCGGTAGTCACCTTGAAGCTTGGACCCCTGGATGGAAAAGTTGCAGGTGTTGGGAAGCCTCTCCACCCCTGGAAACCGGCTGTTCAGATGTATTCTCTTACCAAATTCAGCCTAAAAACCAAACCACACCACACACACACACCATGAAATAGTCAGTGGTCACTTCAAAGTCATCCTCTCCCAGCCACAATTTGATATCTAGCCTTTTTTGGAAACAGAATCTCAACATGTGTTTATCTTGTTATAACAGCTATGGGGACAGACTATGGACCCCAAAGCTAGGACAAGTAAACACACGCTAAGCACATCCACCCTTCACCCTTAACCATGTGACTACAAGAAAGATACACACTCTTGCTGGGTCCAGGGGCCCTCTTTAGGAATTCTGATGCCAGCTAGCTTCCAGTACCCTGTTCTGCTCCCTTCCCCCAGGACCCACTGTACTCTCCAGGTCCCCAAACTGAGTTTCCTTCACAGGGAGATAGTGTCTGGTCCCAGCTCTGCCACTGCACTCTCCCATGTGGGCAGGTCCCTCTCACCTCCAGCCTCTCCTCCAGGTAATCTCGGATGTCCCTCATGTGGGCCTCATACGCCTCACAGTTTTCACTCACCAGCTCAGCAGCCTGAGGACACAGAAGTGTGAGAGTTAAGACCAGACACTTGAAAAGACCCTTTCGGCCACTGCTGTGCCTCTGCAGGGTGTGCTGACCAGCGACAAGCACTGCCCAGCTGCACCACATGCTCAGGAAGGTCACCAGGGGCTCCCTACAGGCTCCAGGTGTCATAGACAAGACAGCAAATAAGCCCTGAGGGAACCTCAGGTCCTAAGAGTATCATTCCATAGAGGGACAAAACTAGATGGCAGGCTCACTCTGGGAAGGGACCACAACAGGTCCCCAGGTCCCTGAGGAGTCACCAAGGAATAGGAAGGGTGTTTCCACCTGCGGGGAGAAGACAGTGTGTCTGTTGGATAGCTGCCTACCGTGGTGACGGTGATGCCTGCAGGCCCTGGGGGGGCAGGGTAATATAAGAATATAGGTGCCTGGTGTAAATGCAATTAGATCTAGTTAGGGCAGAGAAGACCTGCCGTGACATGTTAGGGTCATGCTAACTGCTGTATAAGGGGCCTACAGACACCATAGAGATGTCCAACAAAAGACAAGGACTACTTGTTCAGTGCTGTGGGCCATGAAAATGGACAAGAGACGCCTGGGCACACTAGAGGAGGAGGAGACAGTCACAGCTGCCGCCTCAGACGCATGTGGCAGTCAGCGGACAAAAGGGCTTCAGGGCTGAAACCAGAGTCGTCTCACTGGCCTAGCTTTCCCCCTTTGACTGCTAAGCAGGAACAACTCACCCTACCACAAAAAACAAAGGTCCCACCTAATCCTCCTGCCTCCACTTCCCAAGTACTGAGACTACACGAGTGCACCATGCCTGGCTCTAATTCTCCAGCTGCACCCAGGGAGACTTTCATTAACCAGTGCACTTGTGGGGTCACCAGCCTTACCTTCCCCAGGCCAGCAATCATGGGTGTGTTCTCCGTCCTGCAGGAGACAAAGCATGGTATAACGTAAGTGAATGTCCTAGGAGGGGAATGAGCCATTGTTCGAAAGTGCCTCATTTTGTCCTTCCTAAGGACAGGAGCAGCCTTGGACCCCAACACACACACACACTCACAAACTCATGCGCGCACGCGCGAGCGCACACACACACACACACACACACACACACACACACACACACACTCACAAACTCATGCGCGCACGCGCGAGCGCGCACACACACACACACACACACAGAGCCTGGACAGCCACGGTCCACTGTAGGTACCACATGCTGGCTCACCACAGGGACAATTCCACCTGAACCCTTTTCCAACACAGAGAGCATGCCACACCTCCTCCAATGTGCCAGGTCTAATGTGGGTGGGGACTATCCCTTATCTTAGAGAGCTTAGGGACCAACAGGAGAAAGGGGTGCACAGACACACAGGCAGACACAGAGGCAGGAGGGAACAACCCATAAGCTCTCACTAGCTGAATCTGCCAAACTGAAAGTCTAACTCTTCAATATGCAGGGAAAAACCAATGTTCACTTATTAATTTTGTTGAAGTTTTGGTTGAATAAAACTTTCTTAACTTTTTATAAGTATGTTTTCAAGTTGTTATCTGTCAGTGGTTTATCACCAGAGGACATTCAGTTGCATCCTTGCCAGTATTCCACGTCACTTCTTATCCTAGCTCTGACAGGCAAGGGACACAGGGGCATTTCCCTAAACCTAGCATCTGAACACTTCCTTGCATAGCTAGAAGCTGACTAACCTCATGGGGAGATCTATTTATTCTTGTGATGGTTAAATTGTCAACTTGACACTAACTAGGATTATCTGGGTAGAGAATCTTAGTGAGGAGTCATCTAGAGCAGGTTGGCCTGTGGGCTTGTCTCTGGGAGGGTTTGTCTTCACTATGCTAATTGATGTGGGAAAACTCAGTCCGCCGTGGGTGACACCATTCCCTGGATTTGGGTCCTGGACTGTACAAGAGCGGAGGTGGTGGCACACGCCTGTAATCCCAGCACTCAGGAGGCAGAGGCAGGTGTGAGTTTGAGGCCAGCTTGCTCTACAAAGCAAGTTCTACACAGAGAAACCCTGTCTCAAAAAAAAAGGTGTGGAGCAAGCTCTCTGCTCTGGCTCTCGGTGTGCTGATGAGCTGGTTAAAGTTCCTGCAGCCTTGACTTCCCTGCCACGCTGGACTGAACCTGGAACCCTGAATTCAAATGAATCCTTTTTCCCCTAGCTGGTTGTTTTGGTCAGGGTCTTTCACAGCAGAAATGAAACAAGGACAACTCTAGATGTTGTCGGATCTGGCGCTGAACATATTTTCCCGGTAGGTAGCCAGGCTTTTGGTACTAGCTGTTTATAAAGCAACAGTAACATGTGTTGCCATGGGCAGATCTTACACAAGTGCTGGAGATGGGACTCAGGTCCTGTAGCCAGCACTTCAGTGACTGTGACATCTCCTCAATACCAACAAGGCCTCACTTGTGACAAAGCCCAGCTCATCTAGATTCTCTTTAATGGGTGATTTGATATTTAGTGCAAGGACATGCTGTCTTGCCTGTTGGGCAGGTTCCCATTATTTCTCTTTTCTTCACTAATAAAGTTTTTATATTTCATGTTCTACATTTAAACCGCTTTGAGTCAATAATAGGCACAAGGTTCACATTTTTGCCTATAATGTTCTTTTTGGTCCTGCAGAATTCTATTCACTAACATTCTGCTATTTTCTCATTCAAATTACTTCGTTGTTCTGTCTTTGGCTATGGAATCAGCTTAAGACTGACATAATAAAATGAACCAGAAACATGGTTTTATAATGAAATGGCACCGTCAAAGGCTGGCTTGCCACCACTGACCTCATGTGCTTCTATGTCACCTAGGTATGTCTACAGTGTCACTGATCTGTGGTGCCAGGCATTTGACAAGAGCTGAGAGAGGCTTGTATACGTCTGTCTTTACCACATCAGATCTTTTCATTCATGAGCACAAGAGCACAGGAAATTGTTTTCCATGCCCTGTGGTTCTAGCCTCAGCACACAATTCCTGAACATTCAAGTGATTTATACCTGAGTGTTTTTTATTGTAAACGGCCTCTAATAACCACCTGTTTTCTAGCAGTAGACATACATGTCACATTCCGGAAGCTTCGTCTTATACTGTGATCTTATTTGGTCTAGAGGTGCTTTCCCTGGAGGCTCTACAAGGCAGCCTCATGCCCTGATCTGGGACAGTTCATGGCTTCCACCATTTCCTCTTCCCGTCTGCCTAGAACTCCCAGAAGAGCTGAAGCAGCAGGCTTCCAGACACATGTTTTCAGTCACTGAGCTGCTAACAGGGGCTGCAGGGTGAGAGAGAAGAGCCACTTCCAAGCTGAGAAACTCCCCTCCGAGCCTACCATTGGAGAGTTTTTAACAGGAATTGGAGTTGATCCTGTCGAAGGCTTTCTCTGTAGTAAATGAAACAATGGTGTGATTGTTTTTATTCAGAGCCTGTTGACAACAGTGGATTACATTGACTGTGCGCTCAGCTGGCCTGCCACCCCGTGCTGGCATCAGGCGACACCATCTTTATAAAAATCCCAGTGTCTCTTCCTCTCTCCTTTTCTGGGAGAAAACGAGCAGATATAATGTTCCCTAGGCATTTGGAAGGATTTTCCATGGAAACCATCTAGGACTGGAGATTTCTTTTGGGGAGTTTTAAAGCTAGATTCCATCTCCAAAGAGTCATGGTGCCATTCTGGTCATTTCCTGGCCATGGGGCTGCCCATTCCTCATTGAGGTCCCATGTCTGCAGGGTCTGAAGTGACAGCTCCACTCCTTCAACCCTGATCGAGCAGCTTCTCCTTTCTTCTTTGTCAGTCTCCCTAGAGGTTTGTCAATTTTGGGTTTTTCCTGTTTTCTTCTTTTGGACCAGATAGCCTGAGCTGCCCATGTAGCTGGGGCTATCTGTGATTTCCTGGGTCTTCTGCCACTCCATCCCAAACACTAGGATTGGGTTTTTGTTTTAAAGAAGCCATCTTGGCTTTTCTGTTTTCACAGGGGCAATTTTCTTCACTTCCAGGGCTCATTTTGGTCTCCATTTTGCTCTCGAGTTCTTTGTACAGGAGCTTAGGGCCCGACCCCACACTTTTCCAGCTGTAACTGTGGCTTTCTCCCCCTCCAGCTTCCTCTCTGGAGAGCAAAACCACTGGGCTCTGGGCGGCCGTTTCTTCTTTCACTTCTGTCATGCTCCGCTCACTGTGCTGTCCAGTCCCGGCACAGCCTCCCGGGGGACTCAGCCTTCTTCCCCCCCACACCCCATCATCTTTCTGTCTGTGCTCTGGAGTCCGTTGTAGCTAGGATTAGAATGCCATCCCTGATCCCCTCGCTTCCCCTTCACTTTCAGCCAGTCTCTCGATATATTTGAAGTGTCTTTTTAAAAGGATTTAAGTTTTGTGAATATGTGTGTCTGGTGCCTTGGGAGCCAGGAGAGAGCACTGGACTTCTTGGAGCTGGAGTCACAGGTGGCTGTGATCCAGCCAGTGTGGGTGCTGGGATCAGAACATGGGTCTTCTGCAAGAACACCAAGTGCCCTTCACAGATGAGCTATCTCTCCTGCCCATGACATTTCCTTTATGTGTTGTATTTAAACCATTTACATTTGACATCATTATCACAATGGCAGCTGTGATGGTCAGTGTCAATTGCCACCTTGATAGGGTCTAGAGTCTCCTTGGAGATAGGACTCTGGGCATACCTGGAGATTATCTTGATTACATTAATTGAGGTGTGAAGACCCGCCCACTGTTAGTGACACTATTCCCTTGGCTGGGACGCTGGACTTACAAGTGGAGAGAGGCGGTTGAGCAGCAGCACGAAGTCATCACTCTTTGCTTCCTGGTTGAGGGTGAGCTACACCACGCTCCTGCTGCCTGGACTTCCCACTGCCATAGACTTCATGCACCCCTGAACTGTGAAACCTTCCCTCCTTCCCTCCAGCTGCTTTTGCCAGCGTGTTTTATCATGGCAAACAGTTAAATAAACGAAGGCAGCAGGGTTGAACCTGCTTTCTACCAATTTTTTGTGGTGTACTCTAGTTAAGAGTTCTACCATTGAGCTATGCTTCCAGATCCTCCTGCTTTTTTAAACTCTGCTTTTGTGGGGTACTGCATGTTTTTTAAATTTTAATTTTGGGCTATACCTATTCATCTCTTTGAAGTTTTTTTTTTTTCTCAGAGGCTCTGGACATTAACTATATGTATTATATTAATATATCATATTGTGCTGGCTAGTCTTATGTAAACTTGACACACACACTAGAGTTATCTGAAAGAAAGGAACCCAATTGAGAAAATGCCTACATAAGATTTAGCTGTAAGGCATTTTCTTAATTAGTGATTAATGGGGGAGGGCCCAGCCCATTGTGAATGGTGCCACCCCTGGGCTGGTGGTCCTGGGTTGCATAAGAAGCAGGCTGAGCCCATTCCACAGAGAGGAATACTCCCTGAGCCAAGACACACAGGGGTGGGCCTAGACCCTATCCCAAAGGATACTGATGACCCTCTATGGAAGGCTTCACCATCCAGGGGGAGCAGAAAGGATATGTGATAGGTAGAGTTTTAGTTGGGGGGGGAGGTAGGGAAGGACGGGAGGGAGAAGGGAACTGGGATTGTCATGTAAAACAATCTTGTTTCTAATTCAAATAAAATAATCTGAAAAAAAAATAAAAAAGAGAGAGAAGCAGGCTGAGCAACATGAAGGCCTGTTCACCAGGTGTGGGGTTCCAGCTTGAAGGTTTTCTCTCAGCACTGTGCAAAACCCTTCTCTGGTCCCCATGGCTTTCAATGTGAAATTCCTGTCGTTCAAAATGTTTTCCTCTTATCCATCAGATGTCATCTTTCTCTGTTGCTTTCAAGACTTTCTTCCATTGTTCCACTCATAAATGTCTACATTTCTTTGGGTTTATCTTGGGCTAGTGCAAGTATTGCCTAGTGTTTCTTCTTCTTGATTGGCTGGCTGGCTGCAGGCTTTAGATGGAGGCAGTTCTTGCCCTCCCTTACCACTGTTCACAGATAGCTGGTTCCGGGTGTGGAACACTTGCCACAAGGAGCCGCCATTACATTGTTCCCCCCCCCCCCCCCCCCCCCCCCCCCCCCCCCCCACCCTCCCCCCCCCCCCCCCCGTGCCACCTCTTCTTAGACATTCTAACAAAGACGGTGCTGGCACTGATTTTGGGTTAAACCCCACATATGCAATGGAGACCCGGGCTCTCACAAAGGAAAACAGGGCACCTTTGTGCCTGCGGAGCCCCGACTGAAGAGAATAGCAGAGCATGGCAGCACACAGAGAACCCAACACCCAGGAGTATTTATGAGAGAGGGGAACTCCTATCACGTGCTCTGAGTCACCCGAGACACTGCAGGACTGAGATCCACTGTAGCAATTGATCAATTCTGACTTGGGATGATGTGGACTGTGCTTCTGAGAGACAGAAACGGCCAAGAAACCGGACAGTAGAGTGGCCAGCCGGGCAGAAGCTTGTAGGCTTTCAACCTTACCCTGGCCTGAAATTCCGCTCTTGTCCACCTCCAAACAGCATGGGGTACAGGGGGGTAAGTTTACCGACCCCTCGTACATACAGAGCACCAATCCTGGGACCGTAGAACTGGAAGGAAAAGCCAGTCATTTACTCACTGGGAACTGCCTGGTGACCTGTTCCGTTTGTGTCTGAGTGCTAGAGGCTCAGACGTGGTCCTGCTTTTTCCTTGTGGCCTGGGCTGTCTATCTGCTACCACTTCGGTATATGAGAGTCCCAAGAACCCCCAAGCGCAGGGCAGAGCCCCAGCCTGAGGGAGGGCAGGTGCTGGACTCATGGTCCAGCCCTGTGTTGAGAAAGCCCTACACAAGGTACAACAGGGTTGTGAAGGGAAGGAGTGAGCACAGGAGATGGCCAAGGGCTTTTCCTACGCATTTCTCTCTGCCTCCCAGCGTTATGAGGCAGAGGGTTAAGTGTCACAGTGTCAGGCCAGCTTGTGTGCTCCTAAGGACAATGCTGCAAAACAGCACAGAATGTCTTGGTTGGAAAGCCAAGGTTTTTGCTATGACCCTGTTCCTGAACTGCACCTTGAAGAGTCACTGAGCCCAAACCTTCCTGCTGGGAAGTCATAGTTTAGCCAAGTTAGAGGAGGCCACAATTTCCTGGGCCCACCTCTTCTGTGCTGGTGGTGCCCTCCACATGGGCAGATGAAGTCTTTCTATAAGATTCCCCCGGCAACCAGCACTCGGTGTGTACCAAACCCACTGCCATCCATACACAGAGCCTGCTATGTCCTCCCTTGGCTCTATGTGGTTGGGCTGTCTTGCCATCTATGCCATGGCTTGCCAGATGTCATCCTAGCTGTCACTGGCCCCGCCCCCCACATGCACTGGAAACTCCTGAGGACAAAGCCCTTTCTGCATTGCCATCACTGCATCTCAGCACCTGATCCTTGACAGGCGCCTGGAGCTCACTAGATGATGACGACAGCAACATAACCAGTATGAACAGCAGTGCTGGGTTGCGCTCTGCTGTTAAGGAGCAGGGAGGGTGGCCCTGGCACACATACCTTGTGGCCCACGATGGTCAGGAAGTCCACAGCCAGGTCCTCTACATCCACTCGCCTCTTTCCCAGCGCCTGAGCCGCGTCCGTGTGCACCAAGACTTGAGGCAGGCCCGAGGCAGCCCGGCTCTGGTTCAAGGCCTTAATTCGTCGACTGATCTCAGGGACAGGCTGAAGTGGGAAGAGAGGCAAGCAGCGGAGTGGGTGGGTGGTTGTCCCCGATTGGATGGGGACAGAATAAATGACATGAGCTGCCTAGGGCAAAGCAAAGCCACAGATGAAAAGGATGGAAAAAGAACAGGCCAAGTGGACACACAGAAATACCTTCTTCTCTAGGGCCTCCTTGCAAAGAAAGGAGCTGACTCACCATGATGACACCAGTCTCGTTATTGGCCAGCATGATGGTCACAAGGCATGTGGTGGGGCGGACAGCTGACAGGACATCCTCAACCTCTGCCTGCCCGGTCACCTTCGACACTGGGACAAAAGTGACCTCTGAGATAAAACACATATACTAAGGTTAAGCATGAAAATACCCATATATATATATGTATATATATAATTTCAATAACAAAGGTATTTCCATCCCATTCTTGTTATCAAAGTTCAGAAAACATTAGAAGAGAAATTTAAGGTACTGTCCATTGAGAAACTCAGGCCTCGGGCTGTTCTCACAACTGCAGGGCTTGGGTGGTGAGTAGCAGGAGGCTGGAAGTGTCATGGCAACTGGCAAAGCCTTTCTTTGGTGACACATTAGCAGACATGCCCAGGGAGAGATACCAAAAGAGTGCATTTTCCAGGGACAAACGACAAATGACAAAGGGCCCACAGAGAACTGGAATACCAAAAAAAAACAAAAAAACAAAACAACAAAAAAACACAAAAAAACGGGCATTGGTGGTGCCCACCTTTAATCCCAGCACTTGGGAGGCAGAGGCAGGAGGATCTCTGTGAGTTCGAGGCCAGCCTGGTCTCCAGAGAGAGTGCCAGGACAGCTTCCAAAACAATACAGAAAAACCTTGTCTCGAAAAACAAACCAACCAACCAACCAACCAACCAAAAAACAAAAAAAGAAGAAGAACTGGAATAGGATCTATCCATACTCTGCCACACAGTCAGTGGAGTCTAAGTGCTGGCTGTCCATCAGCAGATACTCGTAAGAGAAACCCAGACAAAGACAGTCAGCCTGAGCACCTGCTCTAGCCTCTGCCTCTTGGGATGGATTTATGCATGGCCATGACTGTGCAGGATATGAGACCAAACATGCTCCCCCTCAAAAAAAAAGAAAAAAGAAAAAAAAGAAAAAGAAAAAAGGAAAAGAAAAAAAGAAAAAACATGCTTTTATTGCCATCACTCAGGAAGTAGAGGCAAAAGGAAAAGAAAAAAGAAAAAACATGCTTTTATTGCCATCACTCAGGAAGTAGAGGCAGATGGATCTCTGTAAGTTCAAAGCCAGCTAGGTCTACAGAGCTAATTCTAGGACAGTTAGAGCTATACAGAAGAATCATGTCTAAAAAATCAAAAGAGAAAAAGAAAGAAAAGAGAAAAAGCAAATCCTTTTCAATATGTTTTTCCACATGGCACATTCATTAAATGTCCCTTGGCTAGAATTTGTAGGAAAATTCACTCATGTTTTGGAAAATTATTTAAAAGATAACTAACATTGGAAAAACTAATTCTTGTACAGTATGGTAAAAAGACTGTCAGACAGCAGGCCAGTGCTAATGGGCCAGATACAGTCAGGTGGCATAGGAAACCCAACAAAGGAATCCATCTAAAGGCGACTCTCAGAGGCCGGAGCTGCCTCCCTTTCAATATGTAAAGATGCTAGACTTAAAAACCACAGAGGTACAGCAATGACTATGGCAGAAGAGACAGACAAGAAGTTCTGACAGGAACAGAGACTGCTGATGGTGATGTCAGATGGTGACAATGACCTGGAAAGCAAAGGCTAAGGTTGATCACGTCTACTAAGAATCTGTCAGATTCGGTTCTGTATGGCCCAGCAATTCTGCTCCTAGGTGTAAGGCCAAGAATAGGAACTGCCCACACAAACACTCACAGTGCAGCTCATGGCAGCATTATTCATAATATCTGGAAGTAGGAACAGCTTCTGATGGGCCAATCAATTGTGGTACACACCCTGATCAGAATGCCACTCATCCACAGGATGAGTGAACTAGGCTCTGTGTGGCCTCTCTGTCCTCCGCAGTGAGCACCGGGCCAATCCCCATAGTCACTGACCTGCTATTTGTTCTTCCATGAGATGCTCCAGGGGCAGTCGGATTGAGTCATGTTCCACTGTGCAAGTGATAAAATGAGGCCTGGCCCCCTCCTCAGGGATGTATTGGTCAATCATCTGCCCCTTCAGGGTCTGCTGTTTGTGGAAATATCTCACCATAGAGTGGATTACTAAATTATTGGACTGTGGAGACACAACAGAGAGTTGTCACCACAGCTCCCAGTGGAGACACAACAGAGAGAGCCGTCACCAAAGCTCCCAGTGGAGATGACAACAGAGAGCCATCACCAAAGCTCCCAGTGGAGACAAAACAGAGAGTTGTCACCAAAGCTCCCAGTGGAGATGACAACAGAGAGAGTTGTCACCAAATCCCAGTGGAGACAAAACAGAGAGTTGTCACCAAAGCTCCCAGTGGAGATGACAACAGAGAGAGTTGTCACCAAAGCTCCCAGTGGAGATGACAACAGAGAGAGTTGTCACCAAAGCTCCCAGTGGAGATGACAACAGAGAGAGTTGTCACCAAAGCTCCCAGTGGAGATGACAACAGAGAGAGTTGTCACCAAAGCTCCCAGTGGAGATGACAACAGAGAGCCATCACCAAAGCTCCCAGTGGAGACACAACAGAGAGAGTTGTCACCAAAGCTCCCAGTGGAGACAATGAACCTCTCACTTATTTCTCTCTTTTGTGCCTGAGACTTCACAAGGAAAAGGCCAGAGCATCACCCTCCTGACAGGTCTGGACCTGTGGAGAGCCTCCAAACTCCAAATACTCTAGAACTCACTTCAAGTGTGCCTGTTTTTTACTAAGTGTGAACCTTCATATCACATAAACCCGTCAGGAAGGAGAATTCCATCCCTAGTTGGAGGACTACAAATTGGAGGACATTCACGCACAAACACAAATAAGATGAAAGAAAAAAAATTTAAGCATCAAAAGTCAAATTAAAATTAAAATACACCTCTGCCTCCTGAGCTCATGGCATTCCACATCAATGCCAGGAGACCCTGCTGGTCAGCAGGGCAAGGGTGAATTGGCGGTGACTTGCAGGGATCCGGGGGCCAGCAGCACACTCAGCTTCCCTTCCACCTTCTTTCGTCATCCATCACCGGCCAAACTCTGGGGTACATTAGTCCCAGTGATTAACATTTAGGGGGTGTAGCTCTGAAGGAGGTTGGGGTTCCCCAGATTTGGGCTAATTATGAACACCACTGCTATGAATGCTTGCCAAGTCCCTATCTTGGTACACTGCCTTAGTTTCCCGGGGAGTTCACCTCCGTGTGGATGACGGGCTGACAGGGCATGGAGCTTGACCTCAGTGGGCTAAGTTCTCATAGTAATTTCCAACTTCCACTCGTGATGGCAGCATGCTCTGGGAATGTTTGGCACAGTAGGCCCTGGTGTGTGCTGGCTGCTGGTCGCAGGAGTGCATTGCTGTTCACACTTCTGCACTGGTCACTTGAGGCCCTGGATGGCTGCGAGGGTAAAGCCCTGGGCTTCTCTTGTGCTCTGTGTGTTCAAATTGCTGACTCATTTGCTGACTGTATTATCTACCTGTGAGTAAGTTGTGCGGGTCCCCACCTGTCCCGAGTGCCTGTCAGCTCTGTGTGATAAACACCTTTTCCCAATGCTCTTTCACTTTCCTCTGTGTTCTTTTGTGATTCAAAGTTCATTTGTTATTTTTGTTGTGACAGAATTCAATGTCTTGTTTTGGCTCAAATTTGTGATCCTCTTGCCTTGGTTTCCCAAGAATACGTTCTCCTTTAAGGTAAATGCTATCCACATTTGCATTCTGTTGTCAGATACTGCAAGGTGCCTAGGCACAGCTGGAAACTTACTAATGTCACTTCTCAAGCCCGTCTCTGCAGACTGAGAATCAGAAGTTGTCACCTAGTCCCTGTGACTGAGCAGTTCAGCAGAGTTCCCCAAGATCACGCTTTCTTCAGCCCTGCACCATGCCCACTCAGTCACAATGACAATCTTATACCCTACTGTTATGCCAACGACAGCTGTTCAAGCCTGTCCTGAGCAGGCAGGGGGTGTGGCCACCTAGTCACATGGCAAGTGCAGTCCACTCTGCACACTGTTTCTGACCAATTGTCTGTCCTTGTCCAAACTATCTGCCTCTTACTGACGTGGCTGGGAGACTATCCAGTCTTGCAGAAATCTTGACTCTTAGTTTCCACATGAGTTAGTTTCAGACAGTCTACTGACAGGTGTCAGAGTTTTCACAGAGGCCGCACTGAGTCTACAGCTCACTTTGAAAAGAAGCCGTGTGTGTCCTCCAGTCTGTAAGTGTGACACTGTCCCTTACTCAGAAGGCCGTAAAGGCCCCAGGTAACATCTCTAACCTCCCTGGGAAGCCTCACCAGTTCTCTTCTACTCCATCTATTTCCTAAGAGGTGAACTTTTTTTTTTTAAAGCCCTGGCAAAAATCACAAAACCCAATTCACTTTTAATCTAAGACCTACGATGGCTGAAGCAAACTGTGACCCAGAGCCAACAACTGTCCCTGTCCCTTGCAGTGTCTTCTTCTTTTTTTTAAAGATTTCATTTATTTATTTATTTATTTATTTATTATGTATACAACATTCTGCTTCCATTTATATCTGCACACCAGAATAGGGCACCAGATCTCATTATAGATGGTTGTGAGACACCATGTGGTTGCTGGGATTTGAACTCAGGACCTCTGGAAGAGCAGCTGGTGCTCTTAACCTCTGAGCCATCTCTCCAGCCCAGCAGTGTCTTCTTTTTAGGTTTCTTTTGAGTTCATTCTGTCAACTTAAAATGAGTTCCTTTGGGACAGGTGACACCTCAAACTCAGTGATAAAAAAAAAAAAAAAACTTAGTAGGAAATCATAGGAGAGTCCCAGAACAATGTGAAAGAGAAAGCCGTAATTTCTGACTCTAAAGTGATGACAAGAGCAAACCCCTCCCATACTGTGCCTTAAGGCTAAGAAGGCAGAGGCCACAACTATACCTCGGTGCCCCCGGAAGTGAAGATGATGTCCTGAGGCTTCCCGCCTATCATCTTGGCCACGCTCTCCCGAGCTGCATTTATAATGTCCTTGGCCTTCCTACCTTGAGAGACAAAAAACAAGTTAATTACTATCAACTCCATGTTTAACAGGGCAATCACACACAGGGGAGCTGAGAACTGGGGTGATTCACAGTTCTGGGTGAAACACATCTACCCAGGCAAGTACATATCCTGCCACCTGGCAGGGCCTCCGCAAAGGGGCTACACTGAGACTTAGCAAGTCAGTGGCTACCACGAGACTTAAGGATCTCGGTGAGAGCCAGGGACAGCCTGGTTGAGAGTGAGGGACCTAAGAAAGCTTTGCTTTCTTATTGGATGCTAGAGGTGGGGCTATGCCCACCTTCCCATTCACGACGGGACAAGGGGAGGAGATACAAAACAACAGAAGTAGGCAAAACTGAACTCAAGATTTCACACACCAAGCCAGTCAGTGCTTCTCTCAACACTGCAGGCCAGCCTTGGGAGACATAGGAGGAAGGCTGAGGGCATCTGCCTTCAATAAGGTGTCCTAGGTGCCACCCAGTTTCACAGGACAGTGAGTGTGTCAGGAAAGGTATCTACAGGGCTCTCAGCCACACACCAGTGGTTCCCGAATTTGATGCTGGATCCACGCCAGTCTCCCCATGCTGTACAGTCTTTGTCTAAAACCCCTCCCCACTTCCCAGCTCACTTCCAGCTGTTATTGGCTGTTACAAGCAAGGCTAAGGTACATCTGGAGCACTCAAACTCTTCCCACAGAGCCTCAGTGCAAGCTGCTCTAGATTTTAGAACCTAATACTATGAAACACTGAAACATGTGTGATGAGCTGGCCGAAGTGGTTTAATTAATGTGTTTAATCCCAGCATCCAGGGTATGTGTGTGGGGGTGGGGGCAGGTGGATGAGGGCCAGCCTAGTCTACAGAGTGAGTTCCAGGACAGCCAGGGCTGCACAGAGGAAACCCTCTCTTACAAACAAGAAATCATCTTCACCTGTCTTTCCCTTCATGGCATTTCTACTCAAATGCCAACAGAAAGCAGCTGGGATGTCACTCAGGCCAGCAACAGTCTCCCAGCTGCTTGCCCAACTCCCCTGCTACCCTTCATCTTCCTGCCCTTCTCTAGTGTATCCTATCAGAAGTTTGACTACACCACAGGAGACACTAGTCTAGGAATGAGTCAACAGATAAGTTAATGAGTGGCTAGCCTCAGACTTGGGAGTCTGTGTTACCAAGCTGCTGGTGAGCTTTTAACAAGCACTGGTATGAAACCCTCCAAACCCCCTTAGGAGGAACATAGCGCTAGTAAGACCCGGAGCTGGAGCACCTGTGTGAGTCAGTGTGGGTGATCTTAAGTCCCCTCCCTAGATGGCATTCAGTTCATAATTAACCACTATTAATATGTTTCAGTCACCCTAACACACAGCACAGGCAGGGCTGTGTGCAGGGTCCTGGCCAGCCCATTGATAAACATTAACTAGGAAGGCAATGTATTAGCCTCCACATCTATAAAAATTTGTGGAATGCTGTCTTCTAACTACTGACTTGAAGCAAATTATTATTCAAAACTTCAAATTTAAACTCTGTATTACAAAGTCAAACTCGAAAGAATGTCATTATACAACCCAAGCAAAAAATTCAAACTTCCCTTTTTTGTCTTTATTTTTTCAAAATATTTTACTTTATTTTGCATGTGTATGGTGCACACTCCTGTGGAAGCCAGAGGTTAAGTCTCTTCCTTGGTGCTTTCTGTTTTCCTTGGGTGTTCCTGCTGAGCTTGAGGTGGGGCCTGGAGCCTGCAGACTCAGCTAATCTAGCTAGTCAGCTTGCCCTGTCCCTGCCTCCTGAGTGCTGGGATTATGGCCATGCTGCCACGCCTTCTTGGTTTTCATACAGGTTCTGTGGATCTGAACTCAGATCCACTGAGATCTCCTAAGCCCTCAACTTTTCCTTTCTGACAAAGGTCAAGATACACATGTAGCCTTGATGGCCGTAAAGCATATTCCCAAAACGCACGGGGATAGGCTGCTGGCCGTGTAAGAGGTGTTTGATAGGCACAGGCTTACAAACAGATCTCGGTGAGATCTTCATGTGGGGAAGGGTGGCAGAGGAACACATTAAAGCCTGAAAGGTTATAGCCCTCAGGGTGGCAGCAGGGCTCATGATGCCATCAGGGACTTTTCAGGAAAAATCCAAAAGATGGCTGCTCAAGATATGAAAGAACTGACTCCTGCAACTTGCCCTCTGACACTGAATTTGCAATGTGGAATGCACGTGTGAATTTGCAATGTGGAATGCATGTGTGAATTTGCAATGTGGAATGCACGTGTGAATGAATGAATGAATGAATGTTAAAAACTGCCAGCTGTGTGGTGGCTCCTGGCCTGAATATCATACTGGGGCAGAAGACATGGTGATGGTGTCAAACACCTTTAATTCAGGCACTCAGGAGGCAGAGGCAGCAAATCTCTGAGTTCAAGACCAGCCTGGTCTACAGAGCCAGTTCCAGGACAGTCAGGGTTACACAGAGAAACCCTGTCTCAAAAACCAGAAGAAGAAGAAGAAAAAAAAAAAAAGGAATCAAATAGGAGGGGCTGGAGAAATGGCTCAGCTGTTAAGAACACTAGCTGTTCTTCCAGAAGGCCCAGGTTCAATTCCCAGCACTCACACGGCAGTTTACATCTGTCTGGAACTCCAGTTCCAGGGCTTTTGATGCCCTTACACAGACAGACATGCAGACAAAACATCAATGAACATAAAATAAAATACATTATAAAGAAAAAAAAAAGAATCAGATCAGAGCTGGACAGTGGTGGCTCACACATTTAACCTCAGCATTCAGGAGGCAGAGGCATGTGGTTAGAGGCCAGGCTGGTCTACAGAGAAACCCTGTTTTGGGGGGGGTGGGGAGAAAAAAAACCCAAAACCCAATAAATAAATAAATAACCAAATAAACAAGAATCCAATTAGGTATATTATTGTAACATGGTGCTGATTTGCATAGAAGACACTATGTAGACGTTAGTGACACACGTTTTAGGATTATAATGTTTTTTATTTGTTTGGTTTTTTGAGACAGGTTTTCCCTGGTTGTCCTGGAACTCACTCTGTAGACCAGGCTAGCCTTGAACTCACAGAGACCTGCCTGCCCCTGCCTCCTGAGTGCTGGGATTAAAGATCAAAGGTGTGTGCCACCATGCCCAGCTTTTGCTAACTCTTGGGAATTCTGTCAAGCAATATAGGCATTGCAGTAACTAGATTTTACATGATGTCCCTCTACACATGGGAAATACGCTCTTTAAAGCGAGAGCTCTGGCTCTCTTTAGTGTCAAGGATTCTTCTAGAATTACCTGCCACATAGGAGCTGCTGGGGTTGCCCCAGGCTTCCTTCATGGCCTCTGTCACAGCCTGGATGACTGCAGGCTCCAGAGGTGTGGTGGCGTTGTAGTCCATATAGACCTTCCTGGAAGAAACAGAACCGCCTGTGAAGGAAGGGAGTCAGAGTGTGGGCAGCGGCACTCTAGGGGGATGGGAGACGCCATGTTCTCAAGTCACCCAGTACCTGGTCCACACTAGATGGACATAATCTCCCCCAGCACAAGGCTAACTGCTGGAGGGCAGCACATCTGTAGCTCCCCTCCAGGAAGGAACTGCCGCTGGTGGGGAGCCACATATTCCCCTGGGAATTGCCTGATGACTTCCAGCCAGCTGCTCCGTCCTCACTCCTGGAATGGCCTCTAAGAGCAGCAGGTGTTCATGTCCTCTCCTTCATGGCTCTCTCCTTCTTCTTGGCTTTCACCAGGCAGTCTCCCCCCTGGGGCAGGCCTGCACTTTTTTCACCCCACTCTCCACCCCTATCTAAACTCCTTAAAGTCTTTGCTTCAATGTAGCTGCTCCACTGCTCTACTTGAAGCTTGGCCCTCTGTGCTACCCCTCCCCCCCACTTCCCTTGTAGCCCCATTCATCATCTGAGCCACAAGCTTAGTGTCATCTCTAGGGACTAAGACAAGGGTAGCTCCAGGAACAAGGAGCTTCGTCATCTGAGCCCTGGCAAGGTTGCCACACAGCAGGGGCTTCATCCACAGGATGACACAGAGTGCAGAGCCCCAGAGACCCTAAGAAGAGACACCTGCTGTGTCACCAACCTTCAGGAATCTCTATGGTAAACTATCAGGCCTGAAAGTAGTAAGTATTTTACACGATTTAAAAATCAAAACGGTGCTCAAGCCAATGCGTTCATGACCCCAAACACAATAACTAACTGTGCCCACTAAGCCAAGGGGGACATCAGAACAGGTAGTCTGATCCTCTATCTTTCTTTGCTTTTAAGTCCCACAGAGTCGCCTAGCCCTGCAAAGCTTGGAGCCTTGGAAAGTGTGACTGACCACCCAAGGGTTGGAATCAGTGGGCTTGCCATTGCTGCAGGGACTTTGCCTGTGCCGCAAGCCTGTTTCTTCCTATAAATAAAGACCCCAAAAGTGCTGCACACCCACTGGTCTGCCGAGATGGAAAGCCGACTGTGGCTTCTCCATCTGTAGTTTGGCTGAACGATTTGATGGCTCACATTTCATCAGTGAGGCTGCTTCATGGAGAAAGCGAAACTGCTTAATGAATGTCTACCGAAGGCTGACGCCACGCTTAGGCCTTTATGAGACCGGTTCTCACTGTGTAATCCAGGCTGACCTCCAAATCACAATCTGCCTGTCTCAATTCCCAGCGCTGGGATTTATAAGCATGTTCTACCACATCCAGATATCTTACATCCTTGACAACATAAACGAGAGGGCAAGCCTATAATACCAGCAGGAGGAGGCAGGAAATAGCAAGGGGCAGGGAAAGGAAAAGAAAGAGGAAGAAAACGAGACGAGAGGGGGACGGGGAAAGAGGAGGCTTATGGTATGACACACTCCTGGGTGGGAGAAGATTGAACCAGAGCACCCCTGCACAGCATCCCTGCTCCTTGTGCTCAAGGGGAGGTCTTCACAGCACCGCAGACAGTCAGAGCCTGCAGCCTCCTGCACCGTCCAGGAGCCTTCAGGGCTCACTCCCCAAGGTTCACTTTTCACGTCGGGGTGGCCGTCCCCAAAGTCCTCACCTGCCCCACACCCACGCTGCCCTACTCTTTAAGCAGCAGTGATTCCTTTTAGATGCAGATAATTATGATTCGGTTGCCCGCCCCAGCCTCCAAGACCCCATTCTGTGGGAAGGAGGCCGGAAGCCCCTCTGGCACAGCTGTTGTCCGCGGGCCCCCTTCTCTCCTAGCTTCGGCGGTAGCCCGCCCTCTCTCGGGTCGAGTGGCCCGACTTATCTGCTTGTCCTTCGATCCCCTGACCTCGCCAGTCCCTCACTGAGGTCCCCAGGTGTCCCCTGACCCCGCGGGCTCCAGGAGGGAACTTACCTGTCTGGTGGGCTCTCCGCGCGGCCCCGCGCGCTTCTCCGCACCGCGTCCATCCCCTGATCGCCGGAGGGTCGAGTCACCCCCGAGCCTGAGTGTCTGGGGGCGGAGCCTCGGGTCCCCGGGTATCCGCATTGGCTGCGCGCCATGCTCCGGCCAATCCGGGAGCCTCACGGGGCCTCCGCCCCTGACTGACTGATTGGCTGTCTGGGTCAGGTGGCGGTGAGGCGGAGCTGGGGACAGTTATGTGGCCACCCGGCAGCCTGTGTGTCTAACCGACCTCTGCAAAGCGCGCGCGCTGCTCCGGACTTGGAATCCGGGTGGGGCTACTGGCGCCGTGCTCAGGAGCCCGGGAGCCCACCCTTCCCGGGGCTGTCAGCCAATGAAAGAAGGTCCTGTAGCTTCACCTGTCGCCACAAAGTTGGTGGAACAAAAAGTGCTAGGATGAGCGGAGCAACTAGGGGTGCCGCAGGAACCGAGACCGTGCACCTGGAAGGGTTGGCGGTCAGTGCTTGTAGACCTAAGTGCTCCCTAGACATCGGATTCCCCAGCTCCGCCTTCCCGGATAATTTGATTGACTGAAATTGGAAAGCCATTGGCTAATGGGAGGGTGTAGACCTAAGTGCTCGGATTCCCCAGCTCCGCCTTCCCGGATAATTTGATTGACTGAAATTGGAAAGCCATTGGCTAATGGGAGGGGGGTATTAAAATTCTGGAAGGAGATGAAAGCAGATGAACCAGATTCAGTTCCCAGAACCCACACGACGGTGCACAACCATCTGTATGTAACTCCAATTCCAGAGGATCTGATGACCTCTTTTGACCCTTATAGCCACTGGGCATAGTCATACACATAATTTTTTTTTTTAAAGGAGTAGGATGACAGTGACAAACAGGACACTACTAGTGGATATCTGGAAGTTACTGTAGTACCTGATCTTTGGAACTCAGGAAGGGAACAACTACTCCAAACAACTAGATACAGAAGCCCCAAACCCAAGGTATGGTTGTTTTGTTGTTTATTTCAAAACAGGGTTTCACTGTGTAGTAATTCCTCCTGTGCTGGGATGAATGGTACATGAAATCACCTCCCAACTCGAAGCATATTCACTCTGAAACCCATTCATCCGTGTCAGCACCTCAGAACTGAACATCTGTCTGCTTAGCTGAGTGCTAAGGTGGTATACACGCTGATGGCATCCCAGAGTGGTCCCCTATAAAACTAGATGAGATGCAGCTCTCCCTTTCTCTCGGGTGGGCATCCTCATCTTGGATGAGCTGAACCATCCTGGGCAGGTCTTGCCTTCACTTTCCGTCTTTAACATTCAATTTATCACCATAACAGTGATGTTTTCACACACCTGCACCAGGTCTCAGTGCCAGTTTGACACATTCTTAGAACTTGTGATGTTACATCAGATATTATAATGGCACAATCACAGCCCCTGTTAGCCACCCTCAGGCTCCAAACTCCTCCTCTTTGGTGGTGTCTCACATGTTGAAGATGGTGGCCTGTTGCTGTGCACCTGTAGGCCTCAGAGTGTTTACAAACGCTTAGGACTCCCGGCTCAAGCAGGGCTCAACCCCATCCCTGGGGGCTGTCAGTGGCGACAGCAGGGCTGGTCGCTTCACGTGCTGCTGCAGTTGGCGGGAGAAAAGTGCTGGGATGTACAGTGCCATGAGGAGGTGCCACAGCAGCTGGGACTGCCTCAGGAAGAGGCAGTTCTGTACTTGCCTGCTAGGAAGAGACTGAACTGCACCCGCAGCTCTCCGTCTTGCTGATCTTACAGAAGAGTGTGGGCGAGGTAAGCGCACCTCACAAAGGCTCAGTAGGTGGGACAGAACACTGAGGATGGCTAACTGGGGGCTGCCTCTCCACTACTTTCCAGAGCCATGGACACAGGATAGCTTTTCACTTTATTTTTTTTTATTTTGTTTTATTTTTTTGCAAGACAAGGTTTCTCTTTACAACAGTCCTGGCTGTCCTGGAACTTGCCCTGTAGACCAAGCCATCTTTGAACTTACGGAGACCTGCCTGCCTCTGCCTTCTGAGTGGCTTTTCACTTACAGTTATCTTTCAGTGGTGCTTTGTAGACCTCAGGGCACAAGACTTGTGCTTCTTCCGATTGTTTGAGTTGCCAGGAATGCACATACTAAGAAAGCTCCAGTGTTTATCAAATGGAACACTATTTTATTCCACTTTTTAACACTGCTATGCAATTGTTATTTCACATGTTATTGGCAGTGTACAATGACTGCTTGGTGCTTTGAACATTGGTCAGTCATGTGCTTTGCCACACAGGGAAAGCATTACTGTCCTTACTGAATTCTCATTCAAACCAACAAGAGCTGTGCACATGGACTCATCAAGGGAATGACCAGATTTGTTAAGAAATGGCACATTCCCTTGGGAAGGAAAGCTTCAAAGAGCACCCACGGTGTTCTGCCCTCTGGTGGCTGCAAAAGTGAGCTGCATGTTTCTAACAAAATTGTGGCATTTCAAAGTGAGAGATACTACACCTCTGTTCTCACTGAGGTCTGTGGAATGTCCTGGTTTACCAAGGCCTTTGCCTCTCCTTTGTGTGTATGTGTGGGGGGGCGGTTTGAGACAGGGTTTCTCTGTGGCTTTGGAGGCTGCCCTGGAACTAGCTTTTGTAGACCATGCTGGTCTCGAACTCAGAGATCAGCCTGCCTTTGTCTCCTGAGTGCTGGGATTAAAGGCATGTGCCACCATCACCTGGCTACCTCTCCTTTTTCTTTTGCCAGTTTTGTTGCAATCATGGAGAGTGGCCTTAGTTCTTTGCCAATGAGTAATGTTGATCATCCTTTCAGGTGCTTTATTGGCATCTGCTTATCTGAGAAAAGGCCTACTCAGCCAGATGTGGTAGCATGCAACATAGTTGTAGTCACATCTGTTCGGGCTGTCACTTAGTGTATCTTATGTAACTTTCAGCAGCTGCTATGGGTATCATGATACACACATATGAATAAAGTCTGCTAGTGGCAACATTAAAAATTTATTTTTAAGTATGTGTCTATGTGCATAGGTATAGATACATGAGTACAATTGTCCGCGGATTCCAGAGAAGGGCTTTGCATTCCTGAAGCTGGAGTTGCAGGTACTTGTGAGTCACCCATTAGGAATTGAACTTGGGTCTTCTGGAAGAGCAGTTCATGTTCTTAGCTGCTGAGCCATCTCTCTGCAGTTCCCTAGCAACAATTTTACCACTTTTGATGAAGTAAGGGAGTCTTCTTGAATGAGGGGGTGGGAGTACGAGAGATAAATCCCAGGGTGTTCATTACACATGCTAAGTGCTCCATTCCCAACCCCCTCCTCCCTTTTTAAATTAAAATTTGAGAATATTTGAGTCTTTTCAAGTTTTTACAGTATTACAGTATTTACATTTTCTGTCTTCTCTAACAACTCCTGCTTCCTCACACGCTGACTTTCAGCACCACTATGCTTGAACATCAGATGGGTGATCTCTACTTAACCATCATCAATGACTTCTAAAGCCTCCATCATTCTGTTTTTTGAGGAAATTTTGAGTCTCATTATGTATTCCTGGCTGGCCTTGGACTTTCAGAAATGCTCTTGCCTCTGTCTCCTTAGTGCTGTCTCCAAGTGCTGTCCCCACTGCACTTGTATTGAAGGTTTTAGTCAACCTTAACAAAGAGGTTAGTAATTCTTTGTTTTACAGCATCTGAAGAATCAAGCTGCTTTTCACTTTCTTTCCAGAAACAAGGTTTTCTGAATAGACTTTCTGAATGCACCTTTCAGCATTTAATATCATGTATCTTCCTTGGGCCTGTAATGGTTTCCAAAGAGACCAGCTTTCATTCAAGTTGGCATCCCCTATAGGCAGTGCCCATTTTCTCAGGCTTTACATTGTATTGTTACAATCTCATGGGGGCCAGAGAGTGGAATGTGGTAGTAAAGATGTAATTGGCCCCCATAATCTCACAGGAAGTGGCATTATTAGAAGGTGGGACTTTGTTGGAGTGGGTATGGCCTTGTTGTAGGAAGTGTCACTGTGGGGACAGGCTTCGAGGTTTCCATGCTTAGAATACTGGGGTCAGTCGACTTCCTGTTGCCTGCAAGATATTGGACTCTGAGCTACTCTAGCACTACATGTCTGTATGACACAATGCTCCCTGTCTTGATACTGAACTGAACGTCTGAAAGTATAAGCAAGCCACCCCAATTAAATGGTTTTTTTCATGAGTTGCCATGGTCATGGTATCTCTTCACAGCAATAAAAACATTAACTATGACAGATGGCTTTTAAGTGTCTTGGACATATGTTGTATTAGGAGACTGTGGGTTCTGAGGCCTGGGTTTCAGGTCAGCACATAGGTGCTATAGTAGTGCTATGGCCAGCCTCTGGCTGGCTGCCTGGTCTGTCTCTCCTGGGAGAGCAACCACAGATCTTCATGATGGAAAGCAAGAGCTATGACTGGCAGGGAGTCACTCTGGAGGGCTCTTTTCCATCCCTGAGTTTGAGATTGCTGTTTAAGATAGTAGTAAATTCGTTTTCCAGGGTAGCTTTGAAGCCAGCCTAGGGATGTCAGCAGGCCTGGTGGTTTGTGGTGGCCTGGTATGTATCTTTTATTGCTACCATTATTTAAAAGGTTTATTCTGGGTGTTACCTGCATGTGCACCACTGCACACTTGACAGACAGCTGATTCCCTCCTCCCATCCAGAGTCCCAAGGGGTCATCTGGCTTGGCATGTACTTTCACTTACTCAGCCATCTTGCTAACAATTTTGGGCAGGGCCAGCATAGCCCTTAGATTCATTTTCCTATTGCTGAGCAAGTAGTAGCCACTAACCTCTGCCCAGTGTGCTCAATTGCTAGGATTTTCTATTCTACCAATTCATGGAAACATGGCCTTTTACTGGGCCTGTGTGAACTCCTGTGGCATATTCTCTGCTCTTCCTGGCTAGTTCTTTCCCAGCTTTAGTGATCCCCAAGGACAGATATGGCAGGAATAGCTAAGGCCAAATGACCCTCTGGGTGGGCTGGGCTTGAACCCTGTGCAGTCTGTCTAGTGTGGGCTCTGCTGAGTGCCACAACCTAAGACTCAGTTCCCTTGCAAGCAGAGAAGCTATGGCTGTCATAAGCCAGAACCTGTTGGGTCTCACTTAAGGGCACCATCACACTGTCTGGCAAACTGTGTGTCATGGCCAGATGTCTGCTTGGCTAGGCCAAGTGGTCCATCCCGTCTGTTTCTCCAGCTACTGAGCAGGAACCTAGTCTTGGCTGCAACATTCATCTGGAGGGCCTGACTGATCTCCATGTCACTGATCCCACCCTTACCATATGGATTGTCATTTTGGCTTGCTTCCTCCATTGCCTTTCACTTTAGCCTATTTTTTCCCCTGACATTTTTGGTCTAGTCAACATGTTATTTACGGGGAATGGGGGGCCTTAAATTTTTTCAGTCCTACACTTCACTTCTATTCACACTGATAGATAACTCTAGGTGTCCAGGTAAGATTTTGTTGTTCTCTTCCTAGGTACCTCACTCAGGCAAAGCAAACTACACAGACCAGACTAACTCCCTGGTTGGTGGCATATCCTCTCAGTCACTGCCTGGATGGTCAGGGGACTCAGCTTCTGGACAATGCCTGGTACACACTCCATATTCTCTACTTTGCTCAACAGAGAAGAGCTATACACTATATAACTTGCCCAGGTTATTGCAAATGGCCAAGATGAGGCTCCAGGTGTTCATTAGCTCCAAGAGGGACAGGAACACTTAAGGTCAAGTGACATTCCCACCCTGTGTTTCCTGATGGCTGGAAAAGATGGGGCCCCTCACAAGTGCCCATCTTCATGTAACAGCAGTCAGAGCACTTAAGCATATGTGAACTGATGCCGGGCGGTACACACCTTTAATCCCAGCACTTGGGAGGCAGAGGCTGGTGGATCTCTTTGAGTTGGAGGCCAGCCTGGTCTCCAGAGCAAGTGCCAGGATAGGCTCCAAAGCTACACAGAGAAACCCTGTCTTGAAAAACAAAACAAAAAAACCCAACCAAAAAAAGAATTATGTGAACTGGATCTGGGCAGAGCACCAAGAGGAAAGCTGAGACTTGACTGAAAAGACTAGGTATCATCTCAGGACATGATGGTAACTATTTTGAGGCCAGGGATCTCAATGGCTGTTTCCTATAAGACTGGCACAGTGGACAGGGGCCCAGTCACAACAAACTCTGTATGCCAGGTATAGGAGGACTTATTTTTGAAGGACAGGAGAAGCTGTGGGATAGTCAAGGGTGTTTTAGAACCTTTCCTACAGGAGATGTAAAGAATGTGGGAAGACTGCTCCTGTACCCAATGCTTTCCCATGGCATGGACATCATGCTTGTTCTTTTAGTCTACCAACACAACTCTATTACCAGTCTGGCATGCCCACATTGAGGGCAACAGGATTCATGGAATCACTGGACCTTGCCTATGTCCCCAGTCCATTCTAGAACTCTTCACCAGTCCTCCCAGGACATGGCCCTATCTTTTTAGATACTAGTGTAAGGAAAGTTTCTGGAATGGGAGAAAAAGGCTGTTCACCACAGCTCTGCCCAACATGGACCCTAAGTTCCCATAGTTACAGGCGATTTTCAAATTCTTCCTAGCAATGTTACCACACTAAGCACATTTAGAATAGTGGAACTGTAGTAATCTGGATCTCTTAGATGGGATATTTCTAAGTAGGTGAAGGTGAAAATTACCCTGTGACAGACAACGAGGAAGTGCCTACTGGAGACTGCAGCTGCTGGCTTCCAGCCTTCTAATGTTTTAAAATTTACTTTTTTATCAATGTGTGTGAGCATGTGCCATAACACATGTGGCGTCAGCTCTCTCTCCACTTTTCCATGGGTTCCCAGGATCAAACTCAGGTCTCCAGGCTTGTCCACAAGTACCTCTGCCACTGAACTGTCTTGCCAGCCTATTAAATGGTATTTTTACAATAAAAAGTCCTGCTGGCAAGATGGCTCAGTGGTTAACAGCACTGGTGGCTGCTCTTCCAGAGTTCCTTAATTCAATTCCCAGAAAACTCATGGTGGCTCATGATTATCTATATTGGGACCTGATTCCTTTTGGCAAGCAGGAGTCCATGCAGACAGAACACTCAAAATACTTAAAATGAATAAATAAAATATATCTAAACAAATAAACAACAAACATCCTGTTGTCTATTCCACAGGAATCTTGGTGATTTTTAAGGTTTAGAGATTCAACTAAAGGTTAACCAGAACACGACCCTTCAGATTTCACAGGGGAGGAAATGCAATGAGTGGCTTTGGGTTGCTCAGAGCTTTCATCCACACAAGTGAGTGGAGCCAGGGTAAAAGAGTGGTGCTTCCTGGGCAGAAGTTCCACAGAGTACTGTACTGACTGTACAGTACTGACTGCTCTTGCAAGTGCTGACTGTTCAGCAGGAATTAGAGTGTCCGTAAGATTCTCAGTGCTTGCACATGACAGAAAGGGAGGTCACCCACAACCAAAGACCACTCCTTGGGAAACGGTGGGTAAAAACCAAGATGAGCTGGGTGTTGTGGCACATCATCCTAGAACTTAGGAGAGCGAGGCAGAAGGCCAGTTTGCACCACACAAAATTAATAGAAAGCAGAGCAAACAAATGAGCAGGACTGGGAGGAAAAGAGGCACAGCAGTTTACAGCCAAGACCTAGACTTTGCTTAGGTACCCCTGCCTCAGCTCCTTAGAAATATTGCAAAATGAAGGACTTGCTGGGGTGAGGTGTCTAAGGAACAATCAGAGATGTGACCCACCCACAAGTGCTTCCTTCTCTGAGCTCTTGAGAACACACAACTTACATTAAAGTCTGAGCAGCTGTGTCCAGAGCAGAGACAAGACCCAGGAGGCAGAGGTTTGATAGCCACAGTGTATTCAAGTTGCCCAAGAGTTTCCCTTCCTTCCCCAGGCTAGACCACTCCTACCAGTTTTCCAGAGGTCTGGCCCTGCCTCATCACAAGCTTGGGGATCACATTGCCTTGGCAGAACTAAAATTACCAGCTTGTTGGGGTCCCAAAGACTGTTAGAATCCTGTTTTGGCCAGGGTGGGGAGATCAAGAGGCTAGCAGTCTGGAGGTCAGGCACAAGCTACTACTCACTATGAGAGGTGAAGCGAAGGGTTCTGTGAGTTGGGGAGAGAACTATTTCTAAGGGACTTCTACTTAACAGAACAATACAGTATTGGCCACCTGGAAACATCATGTCACAAATTACCTGACCTCTAATAAAATGCTACTGTATAATGCCCTGAGTTAGCACCATTCTCAGTGCAGCCCGAGGCAGGCTGGTCTCCCACACTGGGCACACATATGCCTATCAGAATGACAGGGACTAGTTGTCATTTCTTCCACTGGAAGCATCCCTGTGAGGAAGTCCTATCTTTGATGCTAGGCACCTTGTTATCTGGGCAACAAGAGTGCCAACAAATACATGATGGCTCTAGTGCCTGGCTGCTGAGTACCCAGTGACACCATTCTCCCAGGCTTTGAGAGGAGGATGCTGGGGCTCCTGGATACTGGGGTACTACCATTCAGTCTGTTGGGCCCCATCATGCCTGTTCTGTTCATCTAGGTATGTGACCTGCCAGATGAGGCCACCCCTTGTGGCTAACTGGCACAATTCATGATGCCAAGTGGGAAGGAAGACTAACCTTGCAAAGCACACCAAACCCAGAGGATGACAGGCAGGAAACTGACAGTGTGAATGCTAGACAGGCAATGAAACCAGACATGCATTTATTTTGCATTAGATCTCACTGGTTTAAACTCCTAAAGCTGAATAAATCCACCAGTCTCTCTACAGGGCGGAACCTGAAGTGCTCTACCCTGCTGCTGCTCCTGCCGCCTAATCTGCCAAGGCCTATGAGACTCCCCTTCTAGAGCTTGGAACCACAGGCAAGTCGGAGGACAGTCACAGTGCAGTCTTGGCAGCACTGAGACTGAGCTGATTCCCCGGGCACTTCCTTTTGCTGGACAGCAAAGACAGAGCTCTGTTAAGGAAGCCCTGGCTCATGCTATGACAACTGCAGAGTCAGCCACTGCCCTTGCTTAGGAAGCCCAGCCTGCTGTGTCTGGGTAGCCTGTGAGGGAAGCCTCCCTGCCTTTGGTTTTGGTCTTCCAGGTCTAGGTTTTAAGTCTCCAAAACATCCTTGTCACATGTGGGCCTGAAGGAAGAGCTGATGACTAGGAGCCAGATTCCTGCTGCATCTGGAGAAACTGAGTAATGTGCCTTTCATGGTCTCTTTGTATTTCTCTTCAAGAGTTGCTTGACCCAATATCTTTGTGTCTGCTCTGTACAATGAAAATACAAACTAAATGAGAATAGAAAAAATAATTAAAGCATCAAATTGTACAAATTACAAATCTGTTCCAAAATATACTTACATTAAATAAAATACGCATTTCAGTAAGATCTACAGTGAATGACTATGCATTCTGGGAAGCTTCACATCTAGGCAGGGCCAACATTCGTGGAAGAAGCTAAGAGAATGTGCATCCAATCACAGTTTATAGCGGGTTTCTTATTGCCAATCTGCCAGTCACACCGAACATGTCATTACATCACTTGTGCAGGACACCGATTTTGTTGGGGGGAAGGGAAGCAAGCGCTATCCTCAATGGTGAGTTCATTACAACTTCGGAGGAATCCCACAGCCTAGACAGCAGAGTTTCAGTAAACATGTTAAGGGAAGCAGACAACGCTCTCGAGGCCCAGACACATTTTCTTGCTGTATTGTGTAGTCAGGAGGATGGTCTTCTTCAGGACAACATGGTCGCAAGACTAGGACAATCCCAAGGGGCTGACAGGGAGTATGAGGATGGGGAGGAGGGCTACCTCGAGCTGCTTCACATCAGAGACAACTGTGACAGTCCTCAGACCTGCAATCTCTCCTCTTATCATCTGGCATAGCGTTTGATGTATTCATCCACTTTGTCACGGAAATCCTCCTGCAGAGGGTGAAGATACAGCAGAGAAGAGTGAGAGAGCAAAGTGACACTTCAGGAACACAGAAAATCTCCCCCAGAGTGAAGGACCCTGTGGAGAAGTCTGGCTTCATATCACCAATGGTGCCATCTCTCCATGACCCAAGTGCAAACTGTGAAGGAAACAGTGCAGTGTGTTGGGACAGGCACAGCACAGGTCAGAACAGTGGAGATTCTAAAGGTACCTCACACCACACCCTCACTTGTGCCAATAGGAACATCAAGTCTGGAAAAGCATGTTCACGCTCCCAATGCCAGCACTTCTGCAAGCAGTATGAGTCACCTCACTGCTCTTTTGCTGGGAGGCCCTGCTGGTCAGAGGTTGCAGTCTATCTTGGCCTGGCAGCTCTCTCTGAGCTCAGCAACATTCCCTCCTCCTATTCTCTACCTGACCTTATTTGGAGACTGCCTCTAGGCCTGGACACAGTTCCCTGCAGAAGCTTTCCCTAGGGGCTAAGAGCATTATGCTTCCACAGACAATAACTAAGACTTGTACTAGGAGCTTTACAATAGGAGTGTGCTTTTTAATATAAATTAGGTGACTTCCCCAGCTACTGTACCCAATCCTGTCTCCTATACTCTGGAATAAAGCTGAGCTGACTCAAGTTATCTCTCCGAGGGCTATCTCCATTGTATTCACAGGCTGGACAAGGCCCTGCTTGCCACTTCTGCCCCCTTGACTCCCATGACCCAGTGGGGACCATGGGAGAGGAGGGGACCCACACTCTTACACAGATCTTTGTTTCTAGATCCATCTTCCCAGAGTAACTTCCCAGGGCCTTGCTGTCCATTAAAATGTGCTTACCTTCACAGTCCCACCCTCCCTGGAGGAAAGGCAAGTAGGCCACAGAGTTTACCATTCTTTCATGTCAAGAAACAATGGCCACTGGGCTCCTTGGATGACTTACTCAAGTCAGTCTGAGTGGGAAAGTCTTCCTTCTGAGATTTGGGCCACTACCCTAGGTTTTCCCTAGTCTGTTCTCTAAAAGGTTAGGAGCCAAATTCCATGGGACTGAAGCTCTCAATCAGCTTACTCTAACAATTCAGCTATAGGCCACTGCTGTTCCTACTGCACAGCTATAAGCTTGTGTTTCCCAAGTAAGTCCTGAAGCATGGAGGGTTCCCCTGCCTGTTCTCCACAGAATTGAGCAGAATAAAGGCAAAGAAAGGCCTGGCACGCCCAGAGGGCCTGCTGTGCTCTCTTAAATTTATGCCTCCATCCAACTGCCTCTCTGCCATGGGGCCCTACCTGGCTGGCTCTGTCAGGCCCCTGCTACATGCTGAACTAGAAAAATCATTCTTTCAAGGCCAGGCATGTTCTCAGTTTGAACACTATGGAGAAGTCAGGGACTTGCCCCCAGTCTAAGCAGTGATCTGACTCTAGGTGACTGTGCTGCTGTCTCCCCACACCTGTGCACAGAGCTGTGTGCAAAGTTCCCACACTGGCCATTCACTCAAAATACAGGAATTTGGGGAGGGCTGTGCAGAAACTCCAAAATGTCTTCTAGATCCCTTCTAGTTTCCAGAAATCACCTTAGAACGTGGAATGGAGTCCATCCTACCCATGCCCATCTTTAGTGCAGGACAAAAGACTTCTCTTCCATCTTGGCTCCTTCTGTTCTGTTCATTTCAGAGCAAATCCAGTGCCAGACCCACAGGAGGCCTCCTACTGCAGTTCCTGCTGCCTCTAACTTCCTCTTTCATTTTTAAGAACATTAGACTTTAGAATGAAGATTATGCATGCTGGAACCCAAGAGTATAGCCCCCTGACTAATTAAAGTGCGTACAACCAGTTGGAGGAGGTAATAAAGTGAGGATACACAATAAATAGTGGTCACCAAAGGATCAGAGAGCCTTCCTAGTCAGGTATGGCAGCATGTGCCTACAGTCTTAGCTAGTTTCGAAGTAGAGGCAGGAGGATATCGTCAGCTCAGGACTTAAGGCCATCCTGGCAAGACCTCATTTCTAATAAAAGGAAATAGGGATTTAGGAATGTTTGCCTAGAATGTACAAGGCCCCAGGTTCAGACCCTAGCATTGCAAAATGAATGAATGAACAAACAAATCTCAGGAATGAACAAACAAATCTCAGCCATGAGTGGTGATGCTCGCCTTTAATCCTAGCACTCAGGAGGCAGAGGCGGCGGATCTCTGAGTGTGAACCCAGCCTGGTCTACACAGAGAGTTCTAGGCCAGCCAGGGCTACATAGTGAGACTTTATCTCAAACAATTAAGCAAATTAAGTAGATAAATAACAGGGAGAGCCTCTTCGTTGCTTACTGAGGCCAAACACCTTGAGCCATCTCAGCCCAGGTCATACTAGATGCTTCTCTATATTCCTGCTCAGGATACATGTGACTGCTTCTGGTCCTTAGTAGGAATCTCTTGAGCAGTCAGTCATTCCAGGTACCTTTCCCTAACAGTGCTCCGTCCCTTGTCTTCCCTGAGGTTCTGATGCTCCGATTCATGGACCAACACATAGGCCCCACAGCGCAGCCACAAGAGCAGTGATAGAAACTAATTGGCTTGGTACACTTAAGCTGGCTCCTTCTCAGGGAGCTTGGATATTTGATTAATAGGCTTGTTTATCAGAAGTACTTCACACCCATCTGAAGTAGGCAAGACAGAAAGTGCTTGATGGACAAAACAAAGTTCTGTCCCTGCATGTGCAAATGACTAGCTAGAGTCAGGCCCTCAGCAGGCACATCAGAAAAAAATTTTTTTAAATGCAAACATTCTTCTGTGAGAATGGCTCAAAAATAAAAGCAAACTATTCAGAGGTACAAAGCAAGCACACTGCCACACTTGATCTACCAAGACGCTTACAAAGCAGAGTGCAGCAGCGGCCTTCCCAGGCAGTGTACAGTGAAATACACCAACCTATATAGGCATGGACTTGTGCCCTGATGAGACTCAAAGATAAACAACCAGCCCACTAATCAAATTAAGGACACATGATATCTTTGATCCAGATATCTGGTTATAGGACTAAACCAATTATCAGTATATTTAAGGATGCAGTATGTTTACTGACTTGCTGCTTATAGCAGGGAAACATCCTGTGGGGAAAAATTTCCTAGGAAGGAGCTTTTGATCTGATCAGAAAGAAAAAACAAAATAATGAAGAATAAGTGTAATGGACAAGAGTCCATATTTTGGGTAAAAGCAAACATACATGATCTCAGTAAAGGGTGTAGAAAAAGGCAGGTGGCTTGATGTGACCCATCCTTCCTCCCATGTCCCTCAACCACTGTGGTAAGGTTTTGCTATTGTTCTGCAGTGCTAGGCAAGTACTAGGCTCACAAAGTTTTACCCCAGCTCTACCTTATTGCTGATGAGGTAATGTGCCTGTTGTATTAATCATACTGAAATTTTACTATGATTTTACCTGTAATAAAAGCCACTTTTCACTATGAGCAAACCCCACATTTACTGCAACATAAATAAACTGCTTTAAATGGCTGCCCCACACCCACCATTTATGTCCTCACTTACCCAATTGAGAGTCTCCTTTTACCTAATGTGTCTACCTAGAAACAGCCCGTTTGCCAGCTCACCTTGTCTCGTAAATGATGTTCAGCAGCTTCAATATTCAGTGGATCATCAAAATTCAAAAGATCCTTAAAAAGAAAGCAACTCATAATGAGTGTGGGGAAGAATCTGCTTTCCCACTGCAGCACCTCTTCACTTTACAGAGAGTCTTGGGAGTCAGTAACTGGCACAGCAACCTAGAGAGTACTCCAAGCACTCCAAATCCCTCACTGCAGTGTCAAGGATGGAGGCAGTTTTCAAAATGCTGTTGAGAGTTGAGCAAAAGTCAAGGGTATGTTTATATACAATTATCCCCACTCTGAAGAACTGGAGAAGATAGCAATCACTGGTGAAGGCAACTATTCTCTTAAAAACTTTTAAAATTTTATGTGTATGAGTGTTTTGCCTGGTTCTTTCTTGCCTGTGGGGGTACATGTGGGGAATAGATATGTCTAGAGGCCAGGGATCTCAGGGATCACTCCTTAGGAGCCTCCCACCTTGTCTTTTTGAGATAGGGTTTCTTACTGGGACCTGGAACTCACTAAGTAGGCTAAGATGACTGGCCAGAAAGCCCCAGCAATCCTCCTATCTCCACATCTCCAGTGCTGGGATAACAAGCACAAACCATTATGCCCAACTGTTTTACATCAGTTCTTTGAACTGAACTCAGGTTCTGATGCATGTACAGCAAGCACTTTACTGTTTCAGCTATCTCTCTAGCCCCACTGTTTTCTTTCTTGTGGTACTTAAAAAGTGTTTATTATATCATGTATGAGACAGTGTATGCACACATGTGCATGTGTTTAAAGGATAACTTTTGAGAAATAGTGGGTGCTGAGGATTTAACTCAGATCATCAAGCTAGCGCCTCTATCGGCTAAGCCATCTCACTGGCTTTCTTTTCTTTTCTTTCCTTTTCTTTGAGACAGGGTCTCTGGCTAGCCTCAATTCACTATCTAGACCAGGCTGGCCTCAAACTCAAAGAGATCCATCTGCCTCGGTAGCCCAAGTGCTAGAACCAACACCACCACACCCAGCTCCATTTCCTTTCAAAAGCAGTAGTTTCTTTCTCTCTCCAGCTTTAATATCTAAGGCATCTCCTCAGTATACAGAAGTTTCTCTTCTCTGACCCTGCCTAATATTCTTATTTTTTTTCTGACTTTCCAAACTCATTAAAAAATCAACATGGAACACTATCTGGTATCCCCAAACTGAGGGGAGCACAGACTCTTTCTACCTCTCAATCAATACACAGTCCTCTTGAAAATCAGCCCAGATAGACTGTTCATATGGTGAGTCACTGCTTTTTAAAGAGCACCTGAAATGGTATATTACAGACAACCATATTCCTCTGCAGGAACATTACCTGCAGTACAGCGTTCCTAACAAGGAAAAAATGTAACTGTGAATATGAAAATATCAAGTGAGGTATGTGGTACATGTTAATTACACGACACAGGAAGCTGAGGAAGGAGGACTGACATGAGTTCATGGCTTGCCTGAATGATATACTAGGTCAAGACCTACAGAGTGAGATCTCATCCCAAAACAAAAAGAAAATATTGTGCTAGCCAACACCCCCCCACACACACACCCCACACCCACACACACATACCCACACACCCACACCCACACCCACACCCACACCCACACACCCCGCACACACACGCGTTTGGCAACTGGGCAGACAAAGATGCACTCCAAAGCTCTGTCAGGGTTGAGAAAAGTGACAGCAGAAGGCCTGGTTAGCTGCTGTCCTCATTGGCTCACAGTTAAACTGAAAACACAAAGGATCAACAGACAGTGACGCCCAGAGGGAGGGGCTGAAGAGAAGCTCTGGCTGCTCTTCCAGAGGACCCTGGTTTGATTTCCATACCCACATAGTGGCTCCCAACCAGCTGTAGCCTCAGTCCTACAGAATTCAACATCCTCTTTTGGCCTCTGTGGACACATGACACACATGAAGTGCATAGACACAGATACAGGCAAAATACCCAAACACATAAAGATTAGTAAATCCTTTTAAAAGGCAGTAAAACCCACCTGCTGGCAAAATTTTTAATTAGGCTCTGGGGTTACACTTTGTTATGTCACCAAAGAAGCCGGGCCCCACATCAAAATGATTGAGCACACTGGAAAAACTAAGTGGTAGAATCCAGGCCTGGCCCAAAGGTAGTGTCTTCACAGGGAGACAGGGAGAGCCTGAAATGCCTGTACATGTGGCTTCTCTGTAAGTGTGAGCTGCCCAGAAACATTGCAACACTGGGCAGGGCCTCATAGGTTAGTAGAAGTTCTGCTATTTGTCCTTTTGTGGATGATTGAATACAAGCATGCTGTGCCACAGATGACAGGAGGAGGAGCAGATATGCTCTAGAAGGCAGAAAAATCTCCAAATATGTCATTCTGAGGCCCCCTAAGTTCCTGTGTCACGGTGCAAAATTTGGTCATAAAATGGAAAGGAAGGGTGGCTTCTAAGACTGCACACTTTTTAAGCTTGTGTTTCAAACCAACAACCAGAAAAGCAAGAAAAGGGAGGGGTATTTAATAATATACTTACAGTAAATAATGAGTTTAATCCCCAAACAACATCCTGAAAGAGAAAAGAAAACAATCCTCAGGCTTTTATCTACTAAGTCTTTTAAACATGTAACCAAGAAATATGCATTGTATGCTATCAAATACCCGTCATAGTGCTTTTCTCAAGACTGAAAACAGGAACCCTTTCTTCAAGTCTTACCTCTGACCACCTTTATAACTGCTTTCCATGCTCAGAAAGATGCTACAGACCAGACTTCTGAAATTTACCTTAACAACAAAGCCTGATGCTTTGTACAATTACTGCCTCTTAGGGTTGGGTGACAAACTACTCACTACATCTTCTTAATCTTCTTTAGAATTAAGGGAGACCCATACCTTCCAAATTCACTAATTCCCACTGTGATAACACTAAAAACCACCGTTTATCTATATTCACAGATTTGATCTTCAGATGGGAGCCATGACAATCACAGATTCAACTCCAAAGTCTTGTTCTTTTAAGCTGATTCTCAGGAACATCCCATAGTATGTGCTAGTGGAAATTTTATTTACTGTTCCCTGCTTTCTCCCACCTATATGTCGTGGCACATCTGACCTTCTGGTGTGAGTTGGCTAGTGACTGGCACTGGAGCTGAAGATAAGTATTAATCCTGTAATAAGGGTTAGGCACTTGACTGGCAGCAGGCTACTGCCCCAAGCAGTAGAGACACTACAGAGGAAATGGCAGCCATCCCAGAGTCTTATAAAAGGAGCAGATGTAGTGAGTGGCGAGCTGGAGGAGACTACCTCTAGGTAATGGGACATCTGGCAGAGCTAACTCCAGAGGACAGGACATGGGGAAAGACAGGGTGCTCCATGTGTCAGACCACAGTCGAAGAGGAAACAGGGTGTAACTGCATTAAGTCTACACATTCTGACACAGATAAGGGTCAAACTGTTTTCCTGTACTTCCCTCCCCTATGGAGGCTATTCAGTAATATACCCAGCATTTCACAATCTTTCTGACTTACTTCCTAGTAATCTTCTCACTTTGAGGTTTCCAGATACCCAGAAAGGATCAAGATAGCTCCACTGAATGAACAAGACCACTATGCTTTCTCTTGTGGTTCTGAAACCTGCAGTCTGACTCTTTCAATGGAGCGGTGCTGGTCAACAAGGACTCTGATCCGATTAGGATTGGCTAAAGCAATACTTGGTGGAGCAGACCCAAAAGGTGTGTGGTGGGGATTGGAGGGAATAAGGGTGCATTTCTTACAGGAGGGGTTGGTTGCCAGAGGACTACAGAAGAAATGCTGACTCTTACCTTCAATGTCCTAGTGGGAGCCCAGCCAGTGCCATCAATTGAATGTTCTCTTAGTAAACTGAAAGAGAGAAACATGTTAATGAAGAGCTGAAGCTATTTACCATAAAGAAATGAACTATCTCTTCTTGGCTGTTCAGTCTTCTGTCCTACTGAGGACAGCTTTCACCTTCAAAGTTGTATTTCAGTTACAATGTCTCCTGTTATTTTGTCGATTGAATGTATACATATTAATCCTTCACATGAAATTCTATGCAACGGAAAAGGTTTTGTTTTTGTTTTTGTTTTTAAGACAGTGTCTCAGATGTAGTCCTAGCTTGCCTGGAACTCACTATATACTCCAGGCTGACTCAAGCTTGTGTCAGTTCTTCTATCTCTGCCATCTGAGTGCTTGGGTTATAGAGATGTGCCACCAAACCAATCAAAAAAGCATTATTAAAACAGCATGCACACACAAAAAAAGTTGTTTAGTCAGCAGGAACAGTGACAGCAAACAAAAATGATAGAGGGCTAGAGTCTTTATCAGGCATAATCCAAAACTTAATTACTCAAAAAGGGGGAACTATTTTATCTGTGAAAGAAGGAGCCATTTGCTCAAAGTATATAGCATCTACACCCTCCAATGCTGAGGCTGGGTCTCTCTTCTCTCCCACACACCCCAGCCTGTAGCAAGCCACAACCTCATGGTGGTCCTGCATGTTTGCTGGTGGCCAGTGCAGCTGAGCACCTCATAGGCTGATGAATTCAGTCCTCCTGTAATCTGAGCCCTCTGTCCAGTGTCAGTGCTTTCAAAATGAATACTTACATACAAGAATAGTAAGTAGTGCAGGGATCCTCTTTCAATTCTATGTTTATGGCTTATTATTATTTGTTTTGTTTTGAGACAGGGTCTCAATATGAAGTCCTTGCTGGCCTGGAACTCAAGAGATCCAAAAGGCATGTACCACCACATCTGACAGTATTTTTAAAGCTTTGGCATGGGTTGATGGCACTGACTGCATTTCTCAGACAAAAAAAAGATCAGACAAGAAGCATCCAGGTATAGTTTATCTTCCTTACCCAGTGGCTAATGCTGACTGAGAGAATAGAGAAAGAGAAGCATGCTAAGAACAGCCTCAGATCCCAACACTTTACAACTAACATGAGAAGCCTGCTTCCTAGGGCAGCTGAACATGAGACAGTGCCTTGATAGCCTCCCCAAGTCCTCCTGTGAGAGAGGATCTGCATGACTGCAGTTGGCCTGGACCACACTGTAACACAAATTGGAATAGGCCTTGATAATAAAAACCTCAAGTCAGATATTAGAGGGGGGAAAGCTGAAAGATCAGAGAAGTGAGGCAGCCAGCCACTCAGATGGCTTCAGACTAACTGCTGCTCAAATTGCCTAGCCTGCAATGAGCTCCTGTCTCCTCCCGCCTTATATTCCTCTTTCCACCCAACCATATGCCTTCCTGTCTCCATCTCCTTAGTGCTAGGATTAAAGGCCTGTGATGCCAAGTGCTGGGATCACCTTTGTGTGAGCTCTGTTTCTCTCTTAGACTAGATCAATTTTGTGAAGTCCAGGGTGGCCTTGAACTAACAGAGATCCTTCTGCCTATGTCTCCTGAGTCCTGGGATCAAAGGCATGTGCCACCACTGCCTGGCCTCTATGGCTAACTAGTGTGGCTAGCTTTGCACTCTGATCTTCAGGCAAGTTTTATTTGTTAGATCATAAACAAAACATCACCACACCAGACAGCCACCATTAACACCCTGGAGTACTAAAACAAGGGTCCAAACAGATTTAAAAAAAAAAAAAAAAAAAAGGGCTCAAATGCTCTGTCCACTATGAAAAGAAGTAGCTCCTCCAGTTCTTTTCCTCAGAGACCAGTGACCTTCCAGGACAGTGGGAACTGCTAAGCCTTGATCTTGTGCCACTGTGAGAGTAGGACACAGTCTATAGCTGAAGAGACACAGGGAAGCTACCTACTCTGAAAGGGCCATTCTGGAAAGTATCTTCAGTGCAAGTGTTTGCTGAGGTCACTGACGCTAGGCTCCTAGTTTCTCTTTCCTCGCCACTACCCTCCTTGTTAGTTAACATCAGCCATAAATTGGGACTGTTGTTCACTAAAGGAGGCAGAAACAAAGAACATCATACTGCACAGTGAGGGCCCTGGCAATAATAATGAGCTACTTCAGTTTGGTCCAGGCATAACTGTAACCAAGAGATCCCCTTACAAGAGTGCATTTGAAGAGGCTCACACATGTACAGAAGGGAGGAAGATACTTACCTTAGACATATTTCCCCTGTTTCCGTGATGTTGGGGTGCCAGATTTTAGTCAAGCATTTCACCCTGGGAGGCTGCAACACAGAGAGGTCACAAATCTCTCCAGTCCACACCTGCAATGTGTGTGAGTGTATGTGCACACGTGTGCTCGTACACACACACACACACACACACACACCCCACCCCACCCCTCAGTCTCAAACTCCAACCAGGAGCCTAACTTGCTATGCCTAAGTCACAGACCCACACCTGACCATTGCTGCTCCGGACACAGCAAATCAGTCTAAAAACGTGTGCCCCCTCTCCATTTAAATTCCCATGAAACAGACGGGCAGTACACCTGCACAAAGAACACCTGCTGGACAAATGAGTTTCTGTACTGAAACTCTCATACTGCTGCTAATCCACAAGAGAAACACAAATGTGTTTGTGTTGAGAGCATGACTCCCAAGCCAGTGTCCCCCATGTCTCCATGCCTTATCCCTGGTATATGTGGGGGTGAGGGTTAGGCATATGTTACTCACCACCATGTTGTAGGCATCAGGAACTTCAGTTTCAAACTGAAATTTTCCACCCTGGTAGTAACCCTCATCTATTAAAAACACAAAACAAAACAAAAAAATCTTTAAATTAAAAAAAAAAAAGGAAACAAAAGCAAACACGAAGTTAGGATACGGCAAACACAGAATGAAGAGGTTAAAAATAGGACCACAGAGTCCCCAGGTTCCTTCAGCAAAGCTGCACACTGCAGAGCTTTGTCCTGTCCTAACACTGCCACTATTACTACCTGCTCCAGGGGAAAGGTGCCCTCAGAGAAGGACAGGGTATTCTTCAGGAAGACTGGCTCTTTTTGCAGGGCACCACAGCTAGTGTGACCCTCTTAGGCCATCTCCTGCCTGTGTGAGCTCCCTCTTTCCTGGCCAGCTCCCAGACTCCCAATGAGGACGCCATTTCCATGGGGAGGCTGATGAGATCTGACTGCTGGTTTCCAAGCGAATGTGCACGACTTCCAATCACTCAGCACGAGCCTACTCAGCACCCATTCCCTGCTAGCAGGCTCAGGACTCAGCAGTGTGAACTGGAGTTATAACCACTGCCTTAGTGAGTACTTGGAGAGGCTTCTAGGAGAGAACAGGCCCTTAGGAAATGGGTGCTGGCAAGAACCCAGGAGGGATGTCTACAGATACCACAGCACACAGTCTCTCTTGCCTACTTGGACCCAACCCAGCTTCAAGGGGCTGCTGCCAGCAGAGGGGGCTGCAGCCTCTCCATCTAACTGTGGTGTGAATAGCACTGCCTGCATCTTGCAGATGCAACAGTAAGGCCAATTGCTTCATTTATTTGTTTGTTTTTACATAAAATAGAAACTTAAAGCAAGTTATGTCACTAAAAGCAGGCTTCTTTTAAGAACTTCTTTTTGAGGCTGTAAGGCTAGTGTGACAGCTCAACAAGCAAAGGTGCTAGCTACCAAACTTGAAGACCTGCGTTCAACTGCCAGGACCAACAAGATGGAAAGAACCAACTCCTGCAAGCTGTCCTCTGACCGCCACCCAAGAACCTCGGCACATGTACACACAAAAACTAAATTAAACAAGCAAATAAACAAAAGCCAACTTTGAGGACAGCACTATGTTATCTAACAGTTAAAACAGCTATTACCGGATCTTAGCATTCATACTCTAGCACTATTTGTCTTATTTCACAGTCCTTGCCAAATGTTAGCATGGCTGAAATAGCTTGGATTACTGGTTCTTTTCACTTCTTCCCAAATAATTGGTGTCCAGTTCTTGTTAGCAAGAGGACTACCTTTGGGCCACTGATGTAAAAAGCTCCTATTTTAGTTAATGTGCATGTTTGTGTAGGTGCCCACAGAAGGTGATAAGAACCCCACTCTACCCCCAGCTGAAGTTATATACAGTATGTATAAGAATTCAGGCATTATGCTGACCCTATCCCCTGGCAACTGGCAAGGTACACTCACCGGCATTCAGGCAGATACTTAGACGTCTCAAAGGGCCCTGTGTTGCGTGGTTACGTCATGAATTACATGGCTCTGTAAGGACTCTGTACGCATGTGCAAGCTGTCCCTTTTAAGCGCCTCCCACTTGTTCACCCCTTCTTTTCCCTTCTTCCTTTTGCTTCCCTTTCCATCCCTGTTCCTAGTTGGCCAACACCTACCCCTCCTTTCACCCCTTCTTTTCCCTTCTTCCTTTTGCTTCCCTTTCCATCCCTGTTCCTAGTTGGCCAACACCTACCCCTCCTTTCACCCCTTCTTTTCCCTTCTTCCTTTTGCTTCCCTTTCCATCCCTGTTCCTAGTTGGCCAACACCTACCCCTCCCTTTGCTCCCTTTCCCAATAAACTCCATGTCGGTTTGTTGAATTCTGTGGTTCAAAACAACAGTATGAGCCCAAAGCAGTGCTCTGATCCTGTGGAAGAGCAGCAAGAACTCGGCACCCTCAACTGTTGATCCTGAACACCTTTACCACTCATTTATTTAGTGTGTGTGTGTGTGTGTGTGTGTGTGTGTGTGCGTGTGCGTGTGCGTGTGTGTGTGTGTTGAGAAAGGGTTTCCATGCATAGCCATGGCTGTGCTGAACTCACTCTGTAGACCACACTGGCCTCAAACTCACAGCTTGGCCACCACATCTGGCTAGGTTTCCATTTCTAAGAAATCAGCTCTACTTCATGGATTCAGTCATTGGTGTCATGCTTTTAAAAGGTCTTTCACAACCACGATTAGATGAATGCCTTAGTAATAACAAGTTCAGTCACTGGGTTCACAGAATATGGTGTTTTTGTTTTCTTCCCTCCCAACTGGCTGCTTAGCTAATCTCTTTCTTGTTTGATACATTAATGTGATGATGTCAGTTTCACAGAGTTAAGAACAGCCTAGGTGACAGTAAGGCACAGCTTCAGGAGTGTTGTCTGTGAGCCTTTCCAGAAACAAATCATGAGGACTCAGACCTGAGGAGCCATTCATTTCAGGGTGGGACTAGGAAGTGGGACCTGGGTGGAGCAGACAAAACGATGTGTGAGGCTCTGGGGTTGCTTCTTGCCCTGGCCTTTTCCTGTACTGCTTTTCTTCCTGTTTGCCACTATGTGAGATCTAAATAATGGACTGCCACCCCTAAAATGGTGAGCAAACCAAATCATTCCTCTTTTTAAGATGTCTCTGTTAGGTCATTTACTTCTTGTAAATATACCTGGATTTATGCCACAGCAACAAGTCTTGGGAAAAGACACTTGTTTGGTAAGTTTAGCTCCAAATACGAAGACTTTTCATGTAGGCAGCATCTTTATTTATGTACACTACAGTACATTCATGTGGCCCAAAGGTTTGGCTGACCTTGTTCTCTTGTAATCTGACATCAATCACCATGGTACACACTCTTATTTGTGTGTGTGTGTGTGTGTGTATTTCGAGACAGGGTTTCTCTGTGGTTTTGGAGGCTGTCCTGGAACTAGCTCTTGTAGACCAGGCTGGTCTCGAATTCACAGAGATCCGCCTGCCTCTGCCTCCCGAGTGCTGGGATTAAAGGCGTGCGCCACCAAAGCCCGGCGGTACACACTCTTTATGTCAGGCTTTTTCACTGCAGACCACATAGTCCACTCTAAATTCTCCCACAGTGATCCAGTACAAGGCTGTGCAGTAGCCAACCCCTTTCCTGCCACAATGTCTTTTTTCATTAGCTTGTGTTGCTGGAGTTTCTTTCCTGCCAGGTGCCACCTAGCCCAAAGATGCTTTGCTCCAATAAACACATGAACGCTGTATTAGTTATAAACCTGATGACCGATGGCTAAGGCTTCTTAGCAGCTAGCTATCTCTTAATTATTAACCCATTTCTATTAATCTGTATTTCCACATGGTCTTGGCTTACTAGAGAATGGCCAGACCTGTTACTCCTTTGTGGTCTGCATGCCTACCTTTCTCAGAATTCTCGTCTCTTAGTCCCACCTATCTTCCTGCCTCTACTGGCCAAACAGTGGTTTCTTCATCAACCAATAAGAGAAACACATATACAGAAGGACGTCCCCCATCAAGCTGATTTATTTCATTGATTGCAATTATTCTGATTTTGTTGTCTACCAGCTACAAAAATGCTAGTGTTTCTAATGTGCTTTCTTTCTCATGTTCCTTCTGCTCCACTGAAGTTTTTATTTAACAATTAGAATGTCTTAAGTAACTAAGACCTACATTTTTTTTCCTTTTCAATGAACTCTTAGGAAAACAATCTGCTTCCTAGTCAGCACTTCCCTATTCAAAGCTGCCATCAGACCTGTGACCGCTTCACTTTACCTCTGGATTTGCACCATACAGTGCAGCCAAGGAGAGGGTTACACTGCAGAAGGTCCAAGTTCAGTTCTGCCCCAGGTTTTAGAATGACCACATTTGGTGAGATCCCTCTGACTCCCCTCCTACACCTAGCTCCACAGCCCACACAGCACAAGGAGAAGGAAGAAGCCTCCTCTCCTTAGAGTCAATAGCTGAAAACTAACTACACTGTATAGTGTACCATTGCTAGCAGAGTGTGCCAACTCGTACAATTAGCCACAGTTGCTGAAGCTAAACACAGTTTACTTCTTGGTAAGTGGAACTGAATCCTGAAGTACAGTAAGAGAAATCCTAGTTCCCAGCCCACTGTTACAGTTAGAGGACTTAACCCTTACTGGAGCTTTGCAACCTGCTACTGCTTGCCTTCAAAGAATCACACAGATGATGACTAACTCTGGGGAAGAAAGTCTCTAAGGTTCCATGGACACTTGGACAGAACCAACTTCCAGACTTACTCTACCCCAGAATGAACTATGTACTTTCAAGGCCCATAGGTCACAGCAGCTCTACTTTGCTCCTCACAATTCACCAACTTTCCCTACTTTACCCCCCCCCCACACACACACAGCCATTGGGATAAACAGGTTCAGAGGGCTGGAAGCAGCAGCAGAAGCCTGCTGTGTCTCCCCATCTCCACAATGCTTCCTCAAGGCAGAATGGCACTGGGTATACCATTATCCCAGTTCCTGACTTGGGTTCAGAACTATGAAGAGATGATTAAAGTTTCATTTAGAAAATTCAGTCTCAAGCTGGATGACCTGTAATCCACCACACAAAAGGTATAGGCAGGATGATCAGAAGCTCGCCATCCTTGGCTTCATAGTAAAAGACCAGCCAAGGCAAGCCTTAAATAAAACAGAACACAAAAGGAAATAAACGCTGGGCAGTGGTGGCACATGCCTTTTATTACAGCACTCAGGAGGCAGAGGCAGGAGGATATGAAGGTAAACCCCCCCCCCCCCCCGTTTTAGTAGCCATGACCAGCTAAATATGTGCTCGCCTGACCTTACCCCTCCTGTCCTGGTCTCTAGGTCAGATGCCCTCCTCGGGGCAAGGAACCAATCAGAAATTAGCTGGTGGGGCTGTGCTTTGCCGCTCTGGGTGTGGTTTATGGACAAGTGCACAGCAGTGATGTGCAGAGCATAGCAACCACCCTGGGAGGGCCTATGGGCCCCTAGACACTCCCCTTACGCTGCCCTACAAGAAGCCTGTCTTGTGGTTTCTCAGGGTCTTTTCTCTAGCAATCCACCTTGGTGGA